CTTCTGTTGTGTAACGGAAAATCCCATTTCCAAAAAGGGTCAGTTTAATAGCCCTTATCATATTATCACTCTGTGCTTGCATGCTAGGACCTATTGTCTTTGCCAGAGCTGCTGCTATTCTTTCTACATGTATTAGCTCCATATTAGCAGGGTTCACTAACATGGTTGGTTGATCCAGTTTAAGATTTTCAATATCTTCCATTACTATTTCCAACATTCCTTATCCCTGAATATCAGGTCTAACAATGTGTTTTCTTTTAGGAGTATTAGATGGGATACTCATAAGTGGCATTTGTGAGCTATTATCTCCGTAGGGTGGAGGTAGGGTCTCAGACATTATACCACCTTCTTGTTGCTCTCTGTCCCTTTGTCTTCTGCAATTTTTTTTTACCCACAGTTCTTTTTACTGGATTTGTCTCTCAAGTATTACACAGATTTGACTTAAAAAAAATCACACAGAGCTTCTCATACCTTATCATATCACAGTCAGGCAAATTATTATTGTGCGATGTTTATTTCAACAGATAGCGTGACTTCCAGAAGTAGGCTTCTACAATCTCCTCACGGTGATTGCGACTTCAGGTCAAGAGTTAAAAACTCAGTCAACAAAATCTCTTTATCGTCACGTTTAATGAGCCTGATTATCCCCACAACAGTTTTGTGATGAGATTCGGTCGATCCAAATAATTAGTTGGAGGTCGCGTCTCTCTCCTCCTCTATCACCCACCATATAACAATTACAGACATTTTATACATTTAAAGCACCACGAAAGGTAACCGCATTAATCAATCTGATCATGACCTGCGGGGAATGTAACCCTTCTTTTACAGCCTTACAGTCTTTAATGAAAGCACTGCAAGGTAACCGTATTCATCAATGTTATATTGACCTACGGGGAATTTAACCCTATTTTGACACCTTCGTAGTCTTTAATTAAAGCGCTGCAAGGTAACCGCATTAATCAATCTTATCATGATCTGCGGGGAATTTAACCCTCTTTTTCTAGCCTTGCAGCCTTCGTATTTAGTGAGTGAAGGGCCGGGACTGATCAACCGGCCTCTCTCAAACACTATTGTGCCTTAGGTCCAGGACTGAATACCCTTCTCTAAGCACTTCCCCAATATCCCCAACCTGTAATATGTATTGTATTTCCCACCGTGACTAAGAACACTGAGAAAGCTGCTGACAACTCTACATTTTTTAGTATAATCAATCACAGATTTTTGATAATCAAAACAGGTGTCTGCTCACCTTTTGTATATGGCGCCTTGGTGTAGTTGTCAACAGTATCTCTGTGTCCTCCCCCTGGACTGGATTCTGTCCCCTGGCTATCGGTGTCCCTTTCTAGAGATCAGCTCACAAACGTCGGGGTCACCACTTGTTGGAGTAGAATACCTCTGCTACGCGCCGTTCGTTGGATGAGGCTGGATCTCTATTAAATTAAGAAAGGAATTGAAAACACCGGAATCAAAGTTATAACAAATTATCTGAGTTTACTTCTAGTAGGAAACCAAACACATATACAAGTTATACAGAGTACTCGAGTACTCCGGACTTTTCAGGTTTGTGATGCGATGCGGATAAATGCGTCAGGACCAGACAAACTCATCAAACGAGAAGAAATTGGACTTCAAGTTTGTGATGCGATGCGGATACAGTTATCAGGACCAACAAACTCACCAAACCCAAAAAGCATTTTTACACACACAAACATCAGTATTTCTATCTGTCTTTGGGGCGGATATTTGTCGATTCTTCCTTCCCACTTTACTCCCAAGCGAATCAGAGAGCCCCTGGGGAGGAGCTGTTTAAACTGACCACCTCCCCCAAGTGCCCTGATTGGCTGGATTCGCTTCTGGCCGAGGTCAATCAGAGTTTCGAACAGAGTGAGACCCCAAACCACACTAGGTCAAAAGTCAATGTTTATCTTTACCTTATCTTACTCTACATTCCTTCCCAGGGGATATTTTCACCTAAACCATTCTCCCACAGACATTTAAACTTTTCCTCACCTATTTAACGATGTGTCTTTAACGACTTAATGACCGCATCTGGCTCTTAGTGGTGATAAGGATCAATGTTGGTGTGTGAAACACAGAATCTCTAAGTCAGTGAATTTAAAAGTGAGAATAACATTCTTTTTCTAAGTGATTATCAAAACCCGTTCAAACAATATATGTTTACTTCAATACAGTGTAGAATCATATCTTTTTACTTCAGTACTTGAATGACTTGTCTGCAGTTTCTGAACAGATATGAGCAGCTGTGTGCTAACTGCTAACGGCTAACAGCTAACGATGTTTTGGTTAATTGGTTTTTGATTTGACATCAGTGATGGCAGGCTGAAATCCTCATCGCTGATTGGCTAACGCGAGAACGCTTCATGGGAATTTGAGTTATTAAAAGTTAAAATGTTCAATTTGTTTCCAAAAAATGATATTCATATTTGAGAGGCTGCACTGTGCAAACATAGAAAACCATATTTAATCAATTGCCTAATTAAAAAACGAATGATTAAAGCTCCCATGTCATGCTTTTCCGGTTATTACCCGTCCCCTTGTGTGTTATGAAGGTTTTTATGCATGTAAACGGTGTGCAGAGTCAAAACCCTCAAAGTACACCCTGTAGCGAGTAAAACTCTAACACAGAAAATACCTCCCCAAAACGCCTCGTTGGAGATACGTCACTGCCCATTTGAGTCTTCCATTTAGTTCCGGGTACCGCCTGATGTCATGCGGTACCCGGAACGAAATGGACCAATCCCGAAGAGCTATGGCCACACCAGCAGCGGCGTGTTCCTCCAGAGGTTCGAAGAACCGGCATTTCACAGACGAAAGCTTCCAAAACATTGCCCAGTTTGAGGCCGGATATGCACAGCTTGTTTGGACCGTTTGGAGCAGGGGAAGATCCGGGTACACAACCTGTAAGTTTGCATTGTTATTTGTGTATTTATCAAACAAGACTGTTTAAATGTGTAAACTGTGTTGGACAATGCTAACTGTGCTAACTAAGTTGCTAGAGTTTCCATATATCAACTCTAATATCAGCAGATGGCCTTGCATACATCTATCTCATAGCAGGAGAATGTCTGCATTCACACACAAAATACCTATTGACAGTATACTCCGGGTGATTTGCCGTGCGGTCAGTCGCGAAACGTAATTACATTATAGCTGCGTAGCGTGTATGCAACCGATCTAACACACGGAGCTAGAGCTAGGTTTGGTCGGAAAAACATTTTTGTGATGCTACGTTGCTAGCGTTTAAATATATCAACTACAATGTCAGCAGATGGCCTTACATGTTTGTCATGGCAGGAGAATGTCTGCAGTCACACACACGGAATACTCATACAGTATACTCCGGGTGATTTACCGTACATTGTGACAGTACATATACTGCATGTATAGCTAACGAGGCTAGCTGTATGCTAGCGCAAAACAATGTATTCATGCAAGTTACATTGTATGACCGAACGTAGCAGAATACCCGTATACGATTGCAATTATAAACACGTTATTGCTAGCCTAATATGAACCACTAGCTTTTGTTCATAGTAGTTTTATTACACTGCATTATAGTTGCCTTTCCTCCAAGCTAACGTTCATATCGTGTTAGCTACCAAGGTAAACAAAGCTAGGTTAGCATATTAGCAGGCAAGCTGTTCATTACACTCCTACCACAACTACTACTAACGAATCTAAAACAACTAAGTTTCTCTAATATTTTGTGATTTGCATTTGATTTCGTCCAGCCAGATCCTGGCGGACAATCCATGACGGGGACGGGACTTCTACTACTGAGGCCTCGTGCTAAAAGGCACCGGCTGTGCGCAGGCAAGATGCGAGGAGGAATGGATGATATACCGTGTATATTTATGTTCATTTTGTACATTTCTAAAAATAAAGTTTAATGGAAATACTTAGTAGGCCTATCCTTTCTTCCCTGAATTATTTGCTCCTATAACATATCATTCATATATAGCAAACCATGATTTGATTTCTCATCAAACAGTAGTAGTTTATTACAGGTAAAAATAACTTACTCTTTGTTATGACCGGCTCGTAGGCCACAACGGAAAGGCAAGGAGACATACACGAGTTTACAAAACCACGGCACATTTATTGTGGTAAATGCAGAGATAGGTGGTCGGGGAGAGAATCGCCGAGTTCGTCCTTCTGCAGCCTTGGAGAGAGACTCCGGGCCGCTGGGATTAATAGCACCGGCTACGGAGGTGTCCGTGATCGCGCTGATTACCCTCTTCAGCTCCACCCCACCGTAAGCCCTGCAACACACCTGCACAAAGGCCCTGGGGCCGTCACACTCTTCTATAACAACAGTTGTAGGTTCAGTTCGGTTAGTTAGTATAAAATATCAGCTGTACCGACGCCATTATTACACTGATGTTCCCCGAAAAAAGCGGGCGGAGCCTCTCTGGTGGTTGACTAATCAGAACAGAGTGGCCGAGCTGACCAATCGGAGCACACTAGGCTCACAGGGAGGGGGGGGCAAGAGCTCCAACGAGTCGTTTAGTGGAGAGAGTGAATACTGCTGAATACACATGCTTGACAGAGATGCTGTATGCGAAACCAATGTGAGTTTGGAAAATTGCACAGTATAAATCTATTTTAGTATACCTCAACAATGTAATTATGATCAGTGGAAATGGCCATGACATGGGCCCTTTAAAATGCATTAAATGGTAAATGGACTGTACTTATACCCCTCAAAGCGCTTTACATACATGTCATTCACCCATTCATACAGAGCAGTGTACCTTACTCTAGGACTAACATTCATACACATTCACACACCGTTGGCCATGCCATCGGGAGCAACTCAGGGTTAAGTATCTTGCCCAAGGATACATCGACATGTTGACTGCATGGGCTGGGATCGATCCTACAACCTTCTGGTTGAAAGACGACCTCGCAGCCACAGTCGCCCCATTAAAGAGATGCATTAATATAATAATATAATAATGGATTAAAAAGATGAATACATTCAGAGATAACTTTATTTTTCCCTTTTTCAAATAATGAAAGCACATCACAGAAAGATTTGTATTCATGTAAGCATGTTTACATTTTCATAAAGCAAACATCTTCTATCAAAACAAGCTTTTTATCATGAGTGTCAACTGAAATATTAAAAATAATAAAAGCGTGTTTTACCGCGAGGTAAATTAAAGCAATACTCCGAACACTAACCTGAAATACTCCTAAAATCTGCATTTTAAAAACCCTCTGGAGTCCCACATATAATCTACATGTCAGGTATAGGATCTGGATATATTATTTTAAAAAATACATCTCAGGTGTGTATAAAATCTCTCTTTGTTTTTTTAACCATTTAAAGCATCTTACAAACCGTTTACAAGGTGACCACATCATCGCCAACAACACAAATAAATATTGCTCAGTTTGTAGACAATAAATACTCCATATCCACTCTGGGGAAACTTCACACAGGCGCTTTATTTTGGGTTTCATTACCAATAAAGCGTTCACGTAAGAGGATTAGGGCAACATATGAGTTTTCTTTTGACATCCGACTGTTTAAAAAGGGAATATCTTTATGAATTTTGCGAAAACGATTCATAATTCATAAATTCTGCGATTTTCTGGAGAGAAAAAACAACATGTTTTACTCGCAATTCTGACTTTTTGCTCAGAAGAAGAAGAAAAAAAGCACATGTGGCCATAATCCTCTTCCGTAAAGCTTAACTAGTATTATCTATATATATTTCAGACATGAGCAGAACAAAATAAACACTATTGACTCGTGATCCCGTACAAAACAAGCTGGAAATAATCACTAGCAGCTGCTCTCAGCTTCTTTGGTATTTAGTACAGTGGACGACTACCTCTGAGGCTAAATCATATTCTGTTAATTGATTTTATTCAACGTTTTCTATGTTGGACGGTTTCATTTCTATCACTTGTGTCCAGAGTGTGACACTTCTTTTTGAAATGCATCACAGTTTGAAGGTCAGTGCACTATTGAGCTCGTTTTAATGGATTTTTAATTGAAGCAGATGCTGTTTGAAACCATGGAGGGGAAATAAGGACGGTTTAAGACATGGAACAGTCATCATCTAAAAAGGGATTTCTAACACTTAAGGCAGTTCAAGGCAGTTTTACCTGATGAAAGTGTGTGTTATTTATTGCTTTGAATGCCTAAAATAGTGTTTGATTAGTCAACCTTTTACAGATCTTCACAGAAGAGCTTTTATTGTATGATACAGCCGACCCCTGCTTCCCTTTAATGAGCTTTTTGACTTCAAATCTAAATCTAACTGTCCCTAAAATTGAAATTCAACACAATAAATAAGAACTTTAGGGAGTTTAAACCCTTTTTTACCTTTTAACCGTTCACATATTCAAATATTCCCCCAAAAACTCTGCGATTATTCATATTTATTTTGTCAGCGCCTGGCAGGTGAGTTATAAATCTAATTTTAAACAGGAGAGTCTGTCAGGAGATCCAGTATGGATGAAGTTGGTGAAAAGGCAGCTGGTAGCTGGTAGCATGTGGATCTAATGTGTTTTCTCTGGATGTGTTGGATAGTATATACAGTGATTACAGAACTACTCCTGCAGGTCGCTCTTAGACATGAAGTGAAGTCCTTCTTCCTTCAGTCGGGCCAGCGCCGGCTCGTAGATTTCCTTTGACATCGGAACCACGAGACCCTTCGTAGTGATTTCACCTGAGAGAGAAAACACACGATCAATCTTAAAGGTGTCTTTTCTACATAAACATGTGTCCCCGGTGTGTCCCTGGTGTGTCCCCGGTGTGTCTTTTCCTCCGTACCCACATCTCTAAAAACGCCGGTACAACGGAGCTGATCCAGATTTGCTGCGGTCATGTCGTAATATCGGAAATGCAAGACGTGTTTTGGACGTAATATGGTCTGTGTTTACATTAGCAAGCATCGCTAACACTCAGAGCTAACCTGTACTGGAGAGAGTATGTGTGAAGAAGCAGGAAATAAAAAGATACTCATCTTGTGGAGAGAGAAAGCGTTTGAGCTCCATACCGTTTCAAAAATAATGCTTGAGAGAATCCATGTTCAGAGACATGTTTTGTATAGATACGGCCCTATAATATATTGTTCAAATATAGTATAATATGGGACCTTTAAGGACACTCATATGTAGGCACGTTCACACCGGAGTACTTTTCCCGTTTGGTTTCGTTAGTGCCTGGAATTTTGCGTTCACACCAAAAAGAGAACTTAGTTCAGAGAACTTTTACCCCCATTTGTGGTCCCTGCTAGAGAGGTGGTACTAGCCTGAGGAGAAAAAAGTACCAATTTCTGATTGGCTGGGCGAATTGCAAACCACGTCCCGTAAAACTCTGAAAAGTTTTGTGAAGCCGCCATTGTATTTGCTGGCATTAGCATTATTAGCATTAGCATTAGCCCCGCGCACCAACGGAGAGAGAATAACTTATGGCAACACAAAAGAAAACATGGGAGCGGTGGAGATGAGGAGGTGTCGGCGTTCTGGCGATTTACTCTGAAGGCTTCAGTAGAAGCTGCTGGGAGTCCCAGCAGCTTCTACTGAAGCCAGTCCCCAACTCCAGGGACTTCCGGCCGGGGACTTCAGGTGGCAGTATACGCCGTGAAGTGGTTTGCGGCCTGCCAGAAAACCCAAAGCAGAAGAAGAAGAAGTGACATCAGCGGCTTCATTTGCGTAAACTTCCCTCAGGGAACTTATTCCAGTGTGAACGCGATCTGCTCTTTAGTTCCATGGGGGTACTAAGTGCTGGGAACTAAGTGCTGGCACTAAGTGCTGGGTACTAAGTGCTGGGCACTAAGTGCTGGGAACTAAGTACGGCAAAGTACTTGGTGTGAAAGCGGCTTATGTCTTCAGCATCGTACCTGTGGTTTGGTGCACCAACTAAACCAAAAAATATCACCCAATACCTTCGAGGCAGTTTCTGGTTTCAGTCAGTACGTTAATATCACATCACAGTGAACACAGACAAACATATACTCAAATCAGCTTCATAGAAAACTAAACATGAGCTAAAAACTAACTTTATCTCCACCGACTGCATGTTTTTATTATAATATAATATATAAGTATTGAGTGTTCAGTATAAACACCTTTCGACATTTACGTCTCAACGTTTTTGGTGTTTTTAGCCTTGATCCTATGAAATTAAGTATTATACTAATCCCTACATTATGGCAGAAGCAGAGGCATTACAGGCATCCCTCTCTTTAAAAATGTTTGTTTCTGAAGCCGTAAGGCATTTGTGAACTTCGAAACCTTCATATGTTGGGGGTTCAGGTTTGAACCATCTAAACGTAATGATGGCTGCCGCTAATAGGGTTTATCAGGTATTACTGATGGTCAGAGGTGGGAAGTAGTGGAGTACAAATACTTCGTTACTGTACTTAAGTACATTTTTCTGGTATCAGTATCAGTACTTTCTACTTCTTACATGTTGAACACAAATACCTGTACTTTCTACTTCTTACATGTTGAACACAAATACCTGTACTTTCTACTTCTTACATGTTGAACACAAATACCTGTACTTTCTACTTCTTACATGTTGAACCCAAATACCTGTACTTTCTACTTCTTACATGTTGAACACAAATACCTGTACTTTCTACTTCTTACATGTTGAACCCAAATACCTGTACTTTCTACTTCTTACATGTTGAACCCAAATACCTGTACTTTCTACTTCTTACATGTTGAACCCAAATACCTGTACTTTCTACTTCTTACATGTTGAACACAAATACCTGTACTTTCTACTTCTTACATGTTGAACCCAAATACCTGTACTTTCTACTTCTTACATGTTGAACCCAAATACCTGTACTTTCTACTTCTTACATGTTGAACACAAATACCTGTACTTTCTACTTCTTACATGTTGAACTCAAGTACCTGTACTTTCTACTTCTTACATGTTGAACACAAATACCTGTACTTTCTACTTCTTACATGTTGAACACAAATACCTGTACTTTCTACTTCTTACATGTTGAACACAAATACCTGTACTTTCTACTTCTTACATGTTGAACACAAATACCTGTACTTTCTACTTCTTACATGTTGAACTCAAGTACCTGTACTTTCTACTTCTTACATGTTGAACACAAATACCTGTACTTTCTACTTCTCACATGTTGAACACAAATACCTGTACTTTCTACTTCTTACATGTTGAACTCAAATACCTGTACTTTCTACTTCTCACATGTTGAACACAAATACCTGTACTTTCTACTTCTTACATGTTGAACACAAATACCTGTACTTTCTACTTCTTACATGTTGAACACAAATACCTGTACTTTCTACTTCTTACATGTTGAACACAAATACCTGTACTTTCTACTTCTTACATGTTGAACACAAATACCTGTACTTTCTACTTCTTACATGTTGAACACAAATACCTGTACTTTCTACTTCTTACATGTTGAACACAAATACCTGTACTTTCTACTTCTTACATGTTGAACACAAATACCTGTACTTTCTACTTCTTACATGTTGAACACAAATACCTGTACTTTCTACTTCTTACATGTTGAACCCAAATACCTGTACTTTCTACTTCTTACATGTTGAACCCAAATACCTGTACTTTCTACTTCTTACATGTTGAACCCAAATACCTGTACTTTCTACTTCTTACATGTTGAACTCAAGTACCTGTACTTTCTACTTCTTACATGTTGAACCCAAATACCTGTACTTTCTACTTCTTACATGTTGAACACAAATACCTGTACTTTCTACTTCTTACATGTTGAACCCAAATACCTGTACTTTCTACTTCTTACATGTTGAACCCAAATACCTGTACTTTCTACTTCTTACATGTTGAACACAAATACCTGTACTTTCTACTTCTTACATGTTGAACTCAAGTACCTGTACTTTCTACTTCTTACATGTTGAACACAAATACCTGTACTTTCTACTTCTTACATGTTGAACACAAATACCTGTACTTTCTACTTCTTACATGTTGAACACAAATACCTGTACTTTCTACTTCTTACATGTTGAACACAAATACCTGTACTTTCTACTTCTTACATGTTGAACTCAAGTACCTGTACTTTCTACTTCTTACATGTTGAACACAAATACCTGTACTTTCTACTTCTCACATGTTGAACACAAATACCTGTACTTTCTACTTCTTACATGTTGAACTCAAATACCTGTACTTTCTACTTCTCACATGTTGAACACAAATACCTGTACTTTCTACTTCTTACATGTTGAACACAAATACCTGTACTTTCTACTTCTTACATGTTGAACACAAATACCTGTACTTTCTACTTCTTACATGTTGAACACAAATACCTGTACTTTCTACTTCTTACATGTTGAACCCAAATACCTGTACTTTCTACTTCTCACATGTTGAACACAAATACCTGTACTTTCTACTTCTTACATGTTGAACACAAATACCTGTACTTTCTACTTCTTACATGTTGAACACAAATACCTGTACTTTCTACTTCTTACATGTTGAACACAAATACCTGTACTTTCTACTTCTCACATGTTGAACACAAATACCTGTACTTTCTACTTCTTACATGTTGAACACAAATACCTGTACTTTCTACTTCTTACATGTTGAACACAAATACCTGTACTTTCTACTTCTTACATGTTGAACCCAAATACCTGTACTTTCTACTTCTCACATGTTGAACACAAATACCTGTACTTTCTACTTCTTACATGTTGAACACAAATACCTGTACTTTCTACTTCTTACATGTTGAACACAAATACCTGTACTTTCTACTTCTTACATGTTGAACACAAATACCTGTACTTTCTACTTCTTACATGTTGAACACAAATACCTGTACTTTCTACTTCTTACATGTTGAACACAAATACCTGTACTTTCTACTTCTCTCATTTCCCAAACAGGCTGGTTCCTTTAGTTTGAATGTGTGTTTGGTGGCGTGATCATTATTATTTAGAGTCATTGCGTGCCTATTGATTTGAACATGATCCGTGTATCCATCATTTCCTGGTCTTCTCTAAAGAAGAGGGACCAATGAAAACGTTGTCATGTTGCCGTTGTTCAGCATGGAAACATTCATTAGCTAACAATGACATTATTGTTCTATTAATATAAAGGGAGGTCAGGTACTCTTTAAAACAGCTGCTAGTTATGGGTACTTTTTACTGAAGTACATTTCAAAGCCTCTTTACTTTGACTTGAGTAAAGAAGTTTAGTCAGTACTTCTACTTTCACCAGAGTATTTTTAAACGCGAGTATCTGTACTTCTACTTGAGTACAGGATGTGTGTACTTTTACCACCTCTGTTAAATACATCCTTCTAGTTTTCACTCATCAATTTGTTTCAGAAAAACCTTCCTGACTCTTACCATCAAGGACCATGCGTGCTGCAATGGCTGCTGGGTATCCGACGGTCTTGGCCATGGCGGAGAACCCGTTGGGGGTCCCGTACACCACCAGGCTGATGTGTTTGGTCTCCAGCTCTCCGGTCGGGTGGCGGAGCCCCACGTCGTTCCTCATGATGATCATATCCCGCTCGCCCTCAGCTAATCAAGAGAGAGAGGGCATTAAACGTTTAGGAAGATTACATTTCTTCCAATTTGTTGGGAAAATCCTGAATGTCCTCTTCCAATATGAGAGTAACATGATAACAAAGGTATCCCAACTGTAGCTGTGAACATGACAGGATGTATGATTACCTAGAAGAGCATCAGGACTGTTTTAGGCATATGATAGCTATGTGATTAACATGATGATTCAGCCTCTATGGAGATAGACATATGACAAGCATGCTCATTTCTGACGTGGAGCTAATCTGAAGTAAACATTGAATACTGCTTTCTATTCCTCCATCTTGTGACTGTGTAACTCCCTCTCTTGGATATCAGCATGTGAAGGACACTGTTCAGGAACTAGTTGATGCTCTGTATGTGATGACTCCTTCCATTCTGGAGAGGATCACAAGTACATGGATCCTGAGATTGAAGATCAAACTGGCGACTCTGGATCGGACAGGTTGCTTATTTTTTTTTTTTAAACAAAAATTGTCCACAGTTGAGATAATAATGTTCATCTTGTCCTCTCTATATCCAATAGTCACAACACTACTTATGGTAGTCAAAGATCTGCCTACCAAGACTACAAATATGGCCTCTTTCTGGCTAAAACGGCCATATTTGATCCTGAAAATTCAGAAATGGAATCAGCATCCTCAATAACCCCCAAAACTGCTCCAAAACTGCCAAGCCAATATTTAAAGATTGTCTGCATGTGCTAATTAACTCAACTTGTGATAATTGTGCACATTTCCCAACATATCCAAGTTAGCATCCGGCAGTTTCTATGTGCTAACCCGTACTACACATTTATATCATTAAACTTTGGGGTACTTTATATTTCCGGGTCCACAATGCTTGCAACTACATTATATAGTACTTGTGTTGCTATTGTCCTTGAAAGACAAGGTAAACTTAACTAATTAATATATAATATTTAAAAAAGAGGAATAGTTTCGGCGAACACTAAAAGGTACCATGGGGTCAGATTAGAATTTTCCAACGTTCGTTTAGCATGAAATACTTGAAATAACTAAACGACAAGTTAAACGTGAGGTCATAGAAAACTATTTCTGCTAAAAAGTTAGCAATGATTGAGAGTCAGAGCTAAACATGTCAGATGTGTGTATCTCTGTGACTTTAATCCATGTTCCTTTGTTATTCATGTTTTATTATCTTTGCTTTTAAATGTCATTTCATAATGTGTTTCTTAATGTCTCTCATTTTTGTAAAGCACTTTGAATTGACTTGTGTTGAAAGGTGCTGCATTGTGGGTAATAAATGAGTTTGTGTCTCACCAAAGGAGAGTTTTCCTTCCAGATGTTTTGCGAGCGCGGCCAGCACACTGTCGGCGTGAAGCACCGACTCTTCGCTCAGCATCCCAAACCTGAACAAAAACAAGACTTTACTCTAACAAAGGAATAACCTTCACAGCGCCGTTTGAAAAGCTTTCAAAGAACATTACGTTAACGCCATGGCAGCCCACGCATCCTTGGCTAAATCTAAAGAGATGAGCAGTTGCTTTTTGTCGCTGCTTTGCTGCTGAATTGAATAAAATGAACAACAAGTCATTCAACGTGAGCTGCAAAGCGCTTTGGCTTTTTACCCTTTTTAAAAACTGCACAGATGGAATATTTCCAACAATTCTCTTTTACCGTCGGAAAGGAATTTACGTTTCAATGCCACCGCGGCCCCTCAGAACAATGGCGGCACGGAGCCTTGGTCTGAAGAGAGCATTGGAAACAGTTGATTTGGATTGAAGAGGTGGCGCGCTACACCACTTCATGCCTCCTCATGAAGGAGGGGAAGTGGGAAGTGTGCAGAAGAGGAGCCACCTCAGCCTTGTTCTGAACACGCAACCCACCGCGGGAACGTTAACTTTGAAGAGCGGCAGACGTTAAGAGTGGTGGAAAAATAAGCGATGCTTTGATGGTAGTTAACCTAACAGGAAAGAGCTCACGGTGCTTCACAGCTGGAGTGCTTTGTGGGACAATGCTCACAGGAAGAGAACCTTGTAGAACAGGGGTGTCAAACTCAAGGCCCGGGGGCCAAATCCGGACCGCGACTTCATTTCACGTGGCCCCGCAAGAGCTTGCAAAGAATATACTACGTTTATAATAACCCAATGTGTGTTCTTTGAACCTGAAAAGGATTGTTTTTGTTACTTTCATTAGGCGCTTTCACACCGCAGTACTTTTCCCACAAAGGTTCATCAGAACTTAGTTCATCAGAACTCTTTAGTTCTCATGAACTAAGTACAGATCGCGTTCACACCGGAATAAGTCCCTGGGGGAGGATTAGGCAAATGAAGCCGCTGACGTCACTTCTTCTTCTTCTGCTTTGGGTTTACTGGCAGGCCGCAAACCACTTCACGGCGTATACTGCCACCCGGAGTCCCCGGCCGGAAGTCCCCGGAGTTGGAGACTGGCTTCAGTAGAAGCTGCTGGGACTCCCAGCAGCTTCTACTGAAGCCTTCCGAGTAAATCACCAGAATGCCGACACCTCCTCATCTCCACCGCTCCCATGTTTTCTTTTGTGTTGCCATAAGTTAGTCTCTCTGCGTTTGTGCGCTGGGCGAATGCTAATGCTAATAATGCTAATGCCAGGATAATAAAATGGCGGCTTCACAAAAAATTTTGGGAATTTTACAGAGCGTGGTTTGCAATCCGCCCAGCCAATCAGACATAGGAACCTTTTTCTCCCACGAAAGTCCCTGGGGGTAAAAAGGTTCTGATTAACTAATTTTAGTTCCGGATTTTTTTGGTGTGAACGAACATTTCGGAACTATATCGGAACTAAAGTGGGAAAAGTACTGCGGTGTGAACGCGCCTATTGCAGTTGTATACATGTCTTAACGTAACTTCCTGTTTTATATAGACATGTTTTCATTTTGAAGGCGACTTTGCGCTATTAGCAGGAAGTTACTGTTCCCAAAGCAAAAACTTCACGGAGAAAAAGTACAGATATTAACGGAGATATCAACATTTAAATACAGCGATATCAAAAGATAAAGTTTACATGTAAGTATTAGCAAGAGGCACGAGGCTAGTGTTAACTGTCATATAAATATGTGCTTTGTGTTTCAATTCGTTTATATACTGTATTATAACTAACTGTTTGAAGTTCACTTGTTGAATGGTATTCTAAAGTAATGCTCATATGGATGTAGCTTACATGTACTTGTTGTTTTGTGTCTTTCTGTAGCAGTTACATTGGTTTGGAGTTTTCAATAAATTAGAAATCATCAGTCAAGTGTACGACCATCTTTCGGACGGATCTGCTACACTTTATATAATAAAATATCGATACTTGGCGTCCGTGTATCGATACAATATCGCCACGCAAAGCATCACGATACTATACTGTATCGATTATTTCCCCCACCCCTAATAAGTACGCCGTCCAAATATCTGAAATGTCTCTTTACGGTAAAGCTGGATTGCACGGGGTTACAGGATAAAAAGTGCCCATTTCCCAATAAAGTGTGAATCCTGAATAGTGTTTCCAGTCTCTCACCATCTCAGGGTTTCCATGGCGAAGTCGTCTTTCCCGATGCGTTCGTACACGGCTTCCTCGAAGGCTTCGTCAGAGACAGAAGAGGACAAACCCATCTGCTTACAGAGCAACTCTTTCTGCAGAGAGGACAGATCACAGTTCATCTTTTTATTAGAGCTCTTCAAAAACAATTACGTTTTAAGTTTCTTCTTATGCTCAAAACATCTAATTCCTAAGCCTCTTATTCAGTATCAAATTTGTCTCCTTTAGCTACGTTTTCAAAGCCTTAAATGGGCTGGCTCCGGCTTATATAGCTGAACTGCTCCAGCGCTACACCCCAGCCAGAGCTTTAAGGTCTGCTGACCAGCTGCTGCTGGTAGTGCCCAAGACCAGGCTCAAAACCCGAGGGCACCGAGCCTTCGCAGCAGCTGGCCCGAGGCTCTGGAACACTCTGCCCCTCCATGTGAGGTCGGCCCAGACCCTAGGGGTTTTTAAATCGACACTGAAGACTCACTTCTTCTCTCTGGCCTTCTAGTCAGAGCGGAGCACGACCCCTGACTTTTCCCTGTGTTTTGTTTTTAAATGCTGTTGTAAATTATTGTCTTTTGTTGTTATTGTAGTAAAGTGTTTTTTATTACATGTACAGCACTTTGGCTCGACCAAAGATCGTTTTCAAATGTGCTTTATAAATCAAACCTGATTTGATTTGATTTAGCTCCTAGACTGTCTTCTAAATATTATTTTTATCTCATGTTCTGTCTCCTAGCTCTTCTTTAGCTCCTAGTCTGTATCATAAACCTAATCTGTCTTTTATAACCACACGTTGGTTCCGTGTCTGTCTCCTAAAGCTCTTATTTTTTAAAACACGTCTGTATTCAAGCTAGGGCTGCACGATATGTCGTGTCATGATGATAATCGCGATTCGCGGCATGCGCGATAGTCACATCGCAGGACGTGCGATTATTTATTTTTAAGTAGGCAAATGAACTCAAACACGTCATGTTACAATTATTTTGCTGCTTGCTACAAAAGGAAAACTTGCGCGGCTCTCATGTCAGAGGTCCTTGAGTGAGTGACAGCAAACCACCAATCACAACCAAATCTCCAAAGCAAACGGACCCCGTGATTAAAGGTCAAAACACTGAATAAAGTGGTTTCATGTGTTTCTCCAGTTCGGCGCTGCTAACCGAGCTAGCTCAGCTTGTTGCTCTGATAACTTCAGATCCAGACGTCCGTGACTAAAATTCTTCATCCGGTTAAATATAGTTAGAAAAATACCAATTGTATAGCATTACAGTTCAAGAAAGGATGGTTTGCGGGAACAAAAACGGTCTTTTCTTCAATTCCTGTATTTCTTCATATCTCAGGAAAAAAGATATATCGCAATGTCAGTTTTTTCCAATATCGTGCAGCCCTAGTTTAAGCTCCTCTCTAGTTCCTTATTAGTCTCCTAAAACTCACATGTGTCTCCTATAATGTCTCCTAGCTCCTAGTCTTTCTCTTAAACCTCATATTTAAACCTAGTCTGTCTCCTAGCTCCTCATTAGCTCCTTGTCTGTCCCCAAAAACGATTTTGTGTCCCCTAGTTTGTCTCCTAGCTTCACTATAGGTCCTTGTTTGTCTCCTAAAGCTCATCCTTGTCTCCTAAAGCTTTTCTGTGTCTCCTAGATTGTTTCCTAGCTCCTCTTAGCCTCCTCATTCATCTCCAAAAACTCCTTCAAATCACTTAGTTTGTCTCCTAGCTCTTGTTTAGCTCCTGATCCATCTCATATATATCTATCTCCTAGTATGTACTCTATGGCTCCTCGTCAGCTCCTTCCCTGAATCGGATCCTCATCTCCTTAACTGCCTCCTCTTTCTCCTCTTCCTCTCTTTACAAACAAAGACTTGAAACTTTAGAAAGGCCTACAAGGTGGCTCCAAGGCAACATTTCTCCATCATTGCATCCTGTTGTCAGAAAGATAAGTGGCTGCGTTTCAAATAGCTATCCACTCTTTGATTTGTGATAAACATGCAGCCCCTCCTTCATCTCGGAGGGGACACAAGAGGACAAACAGAATCTGCTGTGAACCCTCACGCTGTCAGAGAGCCTTGGTGTATATAAATATATATAATAGACTCTTCAGAAAACACACTCTCACTGCGAGAAGCATCGAGTGACACACAGCTTGTTTTAGTGGATCCTCAGACGGTATTAAAGCTTAATCAGGGTATATGCAGGAAGTCAAATTTAAGACCTTTTAAGACCTTTTTTAAGACCCTTTCCATACATTTTAAGACCTCATCGCCACTTTGAGTTCTAACCGGTTACCTTGGCGACACACTTTACCTCACATTTACTATGTACAGTATTGATTGTCCTTCCTCCTTATCTTCCAACCATTTGGACGCAGACTTGCATTTCCCCATAACGATGTTGTTTAACAACCGGCGTAAACGGACCTTCGCGCGCTATCAAGCAGTGAGCGTGCGATGTCCTGTTCAGATGACGTCACATCCAACGGGATGCCATAAATAAACTACACAGAATCACACTACACACCTACGCAATGATTACATTCAGGCACACTGTAGAATACAACCTCTTTGGACAATTTATATACTTATTGAAAACTAGCTACAAAATGTAATACCTTGGAAAATGCCGTTTAATACTTTTTAATAGCCTTCATTTTCGCTAAATTGATTTATCAATTTTTAATACTTTTTAAGACCCCACGGACACCCTGTTAATAAAATATTCCGAATACAGAAAAATACATGTATCAAGCGATGGGCGCCTGTAATTCATCTACTAATACACAGGGATGCAAACTCATCAGGTATGAAAAAGGTGACAAGGATCCGAGCCCCCCGAGCCCACGGAATATCGGCTTTAAAATGAGGAATAACAGGATTTTAGCAGTCAGAACAACTAAAGCAGCAGTGTTAATAATAACAGAAAAGCCAAAGAGTCACATCTAATAGAAATATATTTAAGCATTTATTTTAATTGTGGAGCAGTCAGTATTTTCATGCCTCTGTGCAAGGCTGTCTTTCTATCTTTATAGCCAGTGGTGTAAAGTAACTAAGTTCATAAACTCAAGTACTATACTTGGGTACAATTTTTAGATACTTGTACTTTATTTAAGTATTTCAATGTTTTGCTACTTTGTTCTTCTACTCCTCTACAGTTCAGAGGTAAATGGTGTATTTATACTCCACTACATGTATTTAATACCTTTAGTTACTTCACAGATATGGATGAATGATGTGAAATATAATCAAGTGTTAAATCAGACTTTAGTTCCACCTGGAGTGAATCCACAAGCTACCCTGCAGTATACAAAGTCATTCAAACTAGCTGCACCTTTACCAGCTTTGAGAACACTTTCATGATCAATCATTATAAAACATATCATATATATTATTCTGAAATGGACCAATCTGCACAATGACTACTTTTGCTGTTGCTACTTTAACTATATTTTGATGATAATACTTTTCTACTTTTACTTGAGGAACATTTTGAATGCAGGACTTTTACTGAAACAGAGTATTCCTACACTCTGGTACTTCTACTTTTACTCAAGTACAAGATCTGAGTACTACTACTTTTACTCAAGTACAATATACTTATACCACCTCCGTTTATAGGCTATGAAAGAAACTATTTGAAAACGAAGGCTAAAGCTAACGTTAGCAGATAGTGACAATGTATGCTAGTTAGCTAGCTCAACGATTCATTAAATAATATTGCGACAGAAACACTTTTCAGTGCACATCACGCTCTGCTGCTCCGAACACCCCGTTCTAACCAGCGGTCCAGTCTGTGCCACAGTGACTCTGGACCGCACAGTTAATATTAACGAACGCACCGTAGGTAATGTAGCTGCTGAAGCTAGACCCTCATCCCGGAGCAGAGCTGACAGGCAGGAAGACTTGTGCTCGCGCTTCATTATAATATATAAAAAAAGAACACCATGCGTGTCATGATGGCACATAACAGCTCGCGGCCGCAGATTACTCCGGGTCCCAGACCCCCCCCATACCCCAAAAATATTTTTATTGCAGATCTACATGAATCACACAAACGACCTATTTTGGAATCAAAACGGCGAATTTCGCCGAAAGGTGACAAGTTTGCATCCCTGAATACAGTAGAACTGTTAACACCTTTGTATGTCACTTGTATTCTCTTTCCATCATTATTATTTTTGTTTATTTGCGATTATTTGTTATTTATCTTTCTTATTTTCTAAGGTAGGCCATCTTTATTACATTTATTTATTATATTTTTAGCCCTGGAGTGGTACTCTGATACTGGTTGACTGATACTTGAAACCTATTCAGGATTGTATTAATCCAGCTGTAAAACCTGAACATGTGAATGTGACTGAAAGATATATTGTACTGTATTAAAAAGTGGTAAAAACAAGCTTAATAAAATGTAATCCTAATGAAATTTAACTTTTAACTACGTAGTATCCTTTCAAGTGTTTTAAATCCTTATGTTTGAGAAGACAAATGAGCTTAAAGATTTAAAATGAGGTTTCAGAGAAAGACTAGGAGCTAGGAGACAAGCTAGGAGACACAGAAAGGCTTTAGGAGACAAGGATGAGCTTTAGGAGACAAACAAGGACCTATAGTGAAGCTAGGAGACAAACTAGGGGACACAACATCGTTTTTGGGGACAGACAAGGAGCTAATGAGGAGCTAGAAGACAGACTAGGTTTAAAAATGAGGTTTAAGAGAAAGACTAGGAGCTAGGAGACATGATAGGAGACACAGGTGAGCTTTAGGAGACAGACAAGGAACCAACGTGTGGTTATAAAACACAGATTAGGAGTTAGAAATAGTTTTATGAAACAAACTAAGAGTAAAAAATGAGTTGGGAGACAGACTAGGAGCTAGGATACAAACTAGGAAACACAGATGTGCTTTAGGAGACAGACAAGGAGCTAAAAAAGAGCTAGGAGAAAAACAAGGAGCCAATGAGTAGTTTGAAAAGACATAAGGATTTAAAACACTTGAAAGGAGAACATTTGTTCACGAGGGTTTCATGACACTACAGGAAGACATTTGCTCTAGGGGGGAATCTGCGAAACCAAACTGTTCTTTGTAAATTATCTTTGATGTTTCCCTATAAGAGAGTCTGTCACACGCAGAAGGAGTCGTCATGCTTGCAAGCATTAAAAGAAAATATCTTAAAAGACTTCATATCGATTGTGTTTCTTTCTGAACTGTAGCTAATGACAATGAAAGCCTTGAATCTTGAACTCATATAACTCATCATTCTCTCTAGACAGCAGCTTGCTTTGGTGGATCCTCGGGGGTTTCTTACCCAGGAAACAGGGGGCGAGGTGGGCAGCAGCACGGGACACGGCTCACTGTTGATCAGACCCAACTTCACAAAGCCAGTCATGGCCTTCGTGAAGCCCTGAGGGACAGAGAGACATACAAACACTCATTTACAGGGACACAAGAAACAACACATACTGGGCAAACAGGATTATGCATTATAACCAGGGTTCATACACGTTTTCACCAATGATTTTCAATGATTTTCCACGACTTCTCCAGGACCTTTACCTAATTTTCCATGACCAAAAAAATTACTCTTTCTCAGCGGTACCACATGGAACAGGGAAATAAGGTCTGCATATGAAACATGCTAGCTTCTACACGCTAAAGCAACTAAAATCTCTCACCAGCAAAATACCTCGTCAGTTAAATGCCATTTTACGTTTCATTACTATACGATACAGTATTTATTATCGTTATAGTATTACTATTTCGGCGATTAGATAAAATATAAATTATATTTGATGCAATTTTTGTTAAATTTCCATGACTTTTCCAAAACTTTGGGAAAAATATTGTTTTCCATAACTTTTCCAGGGCCTGGAATTAGCATTTTGAATTTCCATGACTTTTCCAGGTTTTTAATGACCGTAAGAACCCTGTATAACAGTGGTTGGTATGAAAGAAAACTACAACTAATCAATCAATCAAAATATTGAATTGAAATTAGGTTTGGTGCACCATTTGTGTTTTGCATGAGTTGGTGTGTGTGTGTGTACCTTGAAGCGCAGTGTCCCTCTGATCACTGTGTGTGTGTGTGTGTGTGTGTGTGTGTGTGTGTGTGTGTGTGTGTGTGTGTACCTTGAAGCGCAGTGTCCCTCTGATCAGTGTGTGTGCGCTCTGGATTCCGTACGACTCAGCGTATATGGTGCTGTCTCGGTTGGGGAATCCCTCCAGGTTGAACCCCGGGAAGAAATCCTTGGAGGTGCTGGACTCCATCAGATAGCCGCCGGCTGGGATCTCCACCACCTGGAACACACACACACACACACACACACACACACACACAAATAATTTCATTGCCATTTCTACACTGTCAGAGGTGGGAGGTAGTGTAGTACAAATACTTCATTACTGTACTTAAGTACATGTTTCTGGTATCAGTACTTTACTCCACTACTTATTTTATTTTTCTGACAACTTTTTACTTTGACTTCTTACATTTTGAACCCAAATACCTGTACTTTCTACTTCTTACATGTTGAACACAAATACCTGTACTTTCTACTTCTTACATGTTGAACACAAATACCTGTACTTTCTACTTCTTACATGTTGAACTCAAATACCTGTACTTTCTACTTCTTACATGTTGAACCCAAATACCTGTACTTTCTACTTCTTACATGTTGAACCCAAATACCTGTACTTTCTACTTCTTACATTTTGAACCCAAATACCTGTACTTTCTACTTCTTACATTTTGAACACAAATACCTGTACTTTCTACTTCTTACATGTTGAACACAAATACCTGTACTTTCTACTTCTTACATGTTGAATACAAATACCTGTACTTTCTACTTCTTACATGTTGAACACAAATACCTGTACTTTCTACTTCTCACATTTCCCAAACAGGCTGGTTCCTTTAGTTTGAATGTGTGTTTGGTGGCGTGATCATTATTATTTAGAGTCATTGCGTGCCTATTGATTTGAACACGATCCGTGTATCCATCATTTCCTGGTCTTCTCTAAAGAAGAAGGACCAATGAAAACGTTGTCATGTTGCCGTTGTTCAGCATGGAAAACATTCATTAGCTAACAATGACATTATTGTTCTATTAATATAAAGGGAGGTCAGGTACTCTTTAAAACAGCTGCTAGTTATGGGTACTTTTTACTGAAGTACATTTCAAAGCCTCTTTACTTTTACTTGAGTAAAGAAGTTTAGTCAGTACTTCTACTTTCACCAGAGTATTTTTAAACACGAGTATCTGTACTTCTACCTGAGTAAAGGATGTGTACTTTTGTCATTTCTACACTGTAGCTTCTGTGCATATGACAATGAAACCATTGAAGTTGAATCTCTGAGTTGTACCTGGTTGTCCTGCAGGAAGATGGCGGGGCTGATGGTGTTCAGAAGGACTCCGTACGGACTCCAGCTGAACTTGTAACGGAGAGGATTGTCCGAACACTCGGGAGCAGGAAGACCTCCGCAGAACGAGCTGTACGACTCCACCTGAACAACATTTATTATCATTTTAGTCTTTTACCAGTCAGCTATTGTCTCTAAAGTGTATCTTAATGCTGGATTGGGATGTGTCTTAGTGAGCGACCCTAACCGGAGACAAAGAAATACAATCCATAAAAACAGGACGGAAAAAAATCACATTAAAAAAACGTAAGACTTCCAAAATTAAGCAATATGAACAATGTGGACACTGTGTGTGTGTGTGAGTGTGTGTGTGTGTGTGTGAATGTGTGAGTGTGAGTGTGAGTGTGAGTGTGAGTGTGAGTGAGTGTGTGAGTGTGTGTGAATGTGTGAGTGTGTGTGAATGTGTGAGTGTGTGTGTGTGTGTGTGTGTGTGTGAGTGAATGTGTGAATGTGTGAATGTGTATGTGTATGTGTACGTGTATGTGAGTGTGTATGTGAGTGTGTGTGTGTGTATGTGAGTGTGTGTGTATGTGTATGTGTATGTGAGTGTGTATGTGTATGTGTATGTGTATGTGTATGTGTATGTGTATGTGTATGTGTATATGTGAGTGTGTATGTGTGTGTATGTGAGTGTGTGTGTATGTGATGTGTGTGTGTCTGTGTCTGTGTAGTTCGTGTGTCTGTGCGTCGTGGGTGTGCGTTGTGGAGGTGTGTGGTGTGTCTAAGTGTCTTGCGTGTGGGTGTGCGTGTGTGTGTGGTGTCATGTGTCTGTGCGTGTGCGTGTGTCTGTGCGTGTGTCTGTGCGTGTCTGTGTCTGTGTCTGTGTCCGTGTCTGTGCGTGTGTCTGTGCGTGTGTGGTGTGTGTGTCTGTGTCGTGAGTGTGTGGTATGTGTCTAGTGTCTGTGTCTGTGCGTGTGTCGGTGCGTGTGTGTGTCTGTGTCTGTGTCCGTGTCTGTGCGTGTGTCTGTGCGTGTGTGTGTGTGTGTCTGTGTCTGTGTCTGTGCGTGTGTCTGTGTCTGTGTCTGTGTCTGTGTGTGTGGTCTGTGCGTGTGTGTTATGTGTATGTGAGTGTTGTATGTGCGTGGTATGTGAGTGTGTGTGTGTGTCTGTGCTGTGTAGTGTGAGTGTGTGTGTGTGTGTGAGTGTGTGTGTGTGTATGTGTCTTTGCAGTGTGTAATGTGTATGTGTGTGTGTCTTGTATGTGAGTGTGTGTGTGTGTGTGTGTGTGTGTGTGTGTGTGAGTGTGAGTGTGAGTGTGAGTGTGAGTGTGAGTGTGAGTGTGTGTACTCACCGTGCAGCCGTCAGCTTTGGCCTTGTCGATACACTCCATGGCCAACATGTGATCGATGCCGGGGTCCAGACCCATCTCGTTCACGATGGTGATGCCCGCCTCCTCCGCACTGACACACACACACACACACACACACACACACACACACACTTATATATATATTACATTTCAGCATCCACTGATTTCAGGGATTTTAATCAATTTAAATTGTAACCTGCCAGATAGACGACAAAACAATACATACAAATAGTTTGCTCTGATTTCACTTAGAAAAAAGCTCCTCCATTTCAATAAAACATTCAGTCAATATTTGTTTAATTGAAAGATCTCCTAATTGATCAGGTGTTTTTCACAAATCACCTTAAATCACATGGTTAAAGGTTAGAGTACTTCCTGTTTCCTCACCTGCTCTGCAGCTCCTTCATGGCGGGGCTCAGGTAGCTCGCTGTCACCATGTTCACCTTCCTCCTGATGCAGTGTTTGGCTATCAGAGGGTGGAGAGAGTAGGGCAGCAGGCTGAGGAGGAAGAGGAGGAGGAAGAAGAGGATACATGTATTTATGATCCTCTCCAGAATGGAAGCAGTCATCACATACAGAGCATCAACTAGTTCCTGAACAGTGTCCTTCACATGCTGATATCCAAGAGAGGGAGTTACACAGTCACAAGATGGAGGAATAGAAAGCAGTATTCAATGTTTACTTCAGATTAGCTCCACGTCAGAAATGAGCATGCTTGTCATATGTCTATCTCCATAGAGGCTGAATCATCATGTTAATCACATAGCTATCATATGCCTCAAACAGTCCTGATGCTCTTCTAGGTAATCATGTTCAAAATACTGAGTTTTTTCTCGAAATGTTGGCTTTTTTCTGAAAATTTGCTATTTTTCCTGAAAATCACAAATTCTGACTTTCTCTCAAAAATTTAGACTTTTTCAAAACATTCTTACTTTTTCTCAAAATTCTTACGTTTTCTCAAAAACGTTTACCTTTTCACATTTTTTTTTACTTTTTCAAAAAATTCTGACTTTCTCTAAAAATTCTGACTTTCTCTAAAGATTCTGACTTTCTCTCAAAATTCTGACTTTTTCTCAACATTTGGACTTTTTCTCAAAAATTCTTACTTTTTCTTAAAAGTCTTACTTTTTCTAAAAATTCTGACTTTCTCTCAAACTTCTGACTTTTCTCAAAATTCTGACTTTTTCTAAAAATGTTGACTTTCTCTCAAAATTCTGACTTTTTCTAAAAATGTTGACTTTCTCTCAAAATTCTGACTTTCTCTCAAAAATTTAGACTTTTTCAAAACATTCTTACTTTTTCTCAAAATTCTTACTTTTTCTCAAAAACGTTTACCTTTTCACATTTTTTTTTACTTTTTCTAAAAATTCTGACTTTCTCTAAAAATTCTGACTTTCTCTAAAAATTCTGACTTTCTCTCAAAATTCTGACTTTTTCTCAACATTTGGACTTTTTCTCAAAAATTCTTACTTTTTCTTAAAAGTCTTACTTTTTCTAAAAATTCTGACTTTCTCTCAAACTTCTGACTTTTCTCAAAATTCTGACTTTTTCTAAAAATGTTGACTTTCTCTCAAAATTCTGACTTTTTCTAAAAATGTTGACTTTCTCTCAAAATTCTGACTTTCTCTCAAAATTCTGACTTTTTCTAATCACTGGTCCCCGGCTTGAGCTTCAGTCTCAGGATCCATGTATTTGTGATCCTCTCCAGAATGGAAGTAGTCATCACATACAGAGCATCAACTAGTTCCTGAACAGTGTCCTTCACATGCTGATATCCAAGAGAGGGAGTTACACAGTCACAAGATGGAGGAATAGAAAGCAGTATTCAATGTTTACTTCAGATTAGCTCCACGTCAGAAATGATCATGCTTGTCATATGTCTATCTCCATAGAGGCTGAATCATCATGTTAATCACATAGCTATCATATGCCTCAAACAGTCCTGATGCTCTTCTAGGTAATCATACATCTTGTCATGTTCACAGCTACAGTTGGGATACCTTTGTTATCATGTTACTCTCAGATTGAAGGAGAACATTCAGTATTTTCCCAACAGTAAGGGAGGAGATGAGTGAGTACCTGATGACCAGGTCGTGGTCCTTCACCAGAGAGTCCAGGTGTCCCTCCTGACTGCCTGCGTCCAGCATCACGGGGATGGTGTTGGGATATTTCTCCGCCAGCTCCTCCGCCTGCCGCAGCATCATCGACGCTGAGAGGTAAACCACAACAAAAACATTCAATGGAAGGTCTTAGATTCTTTCTTATTGGAAATGTTTCACATCTCCTTTCAGAAATGTTTGGGACATTTGTTTGCATCGTCTTTTGAAAAAACTTTTCCACGTTTTTCACATAATTATCTGAATTTCTTTTAGCTATTTGATGAACCCTTTTTCCGACAATTTTCATTTTTAAGGATTTCTTTTACATTTTTTCTGTTATTTCTAAGACTTATTTTTAGGGATTCTTTTTCAGCATTTTAAAGTTTTTTTAATGTTGTTTAAATGTCACCTATCATGCCATTTTTAGGCAATAGCATAGGTCTCAGATCTATAAAAATATATAAAAAACATGTCTATGAAGTGTTTTGCTCAAAATACCAAACAGATCACCCATTCTAGCCATGCCTCATATCCCTCTATTTCACTTCCTGCTTCAAAAGTGCTGATTTGGGGTATAAAGCTTTAATAAAAAAGGAGGGGTCTGAGCTCATGCGGGACCCGGCAGCTACTGTCTAAACTAAATACTACCGTGATGAAATGCCATATCATGGATTATCAAGGATTGTTTCTGAAACAGTATGGAGCTCAAAGGCTTTCTCTCTTGCCGGTTATACCACAAGGTGAGTTCCTTTTGATTTCCTACTTCTTCACACACATGCTCTCCAGTACAGGTTAGCTCTGAGTGTTAGCGATGCTAATGTAAACACCGACCATATTACGTCCAAAACAGTCGGGCATTGTTTCTGATAGCAACGTTTCTGATAGGGCCGTGGGTCCACATTTCAGATATTACGTTATATCGGACGCAAATCTGGATCAGCCCCGTTTTTAGAGATTTGGGTCCGGAGGAAAAGAGAGAGGGTTTTATTTTCTGGGTTAGGCACACCGGGGACACATGTTTATGTATAAAAGACATCAAAAAGTGCATTTTGCCTGATAGGTCCCCTTTAAGGTTGGGATATGAAGCATTTTTTGTACATTATTCACGTATTCTATCAGGAAATGTTCCGTCATGATCCTTTGGAGATTTTCCACGTAAATTCTGATATTTTCCACATAATGACTTTTTAAATATAATTTCTTACCATTTCGTTCAAATAATTTAAAGTCATCTTTCCACATGATTCTCAAACATCTTTAAAACTCCTTTCCAGGTATTTTTCACATATTTCTGGGATATTTAAAGAAAAAGAACAGCATTTTTCGACTGTTTAAGGGTGTGCTCATTCCAACTCCTTTACATACCATTGGCTAGTTTAATCTGCAGTAAAGCATCATATTCTATGACCTCATCCCATGTGTGCAGCTTTGTCCTGTAAGCACCACGTGTCTCTAAAAAGTCACCGTTTCATTTCTCAGAAAGACTGTTTTCAGCTTTGTATCTACAGAGCTAACGATGCTAACGGAACAACAGTAGCAGCCGTGCTAGCTGCAGCATACCAACAACTACTATGTTAAAGTGGACACACACACATTTTCAAGAGTGTGTAGATGAAGCAAAAGCTGTGACTAATTTAGTGGCTGAAAGGTGGTTGGTTCGCTAAATATTACAATGTTTTATTTATGTATCCATCTATACATTTTCTGTAAACATAGATGTTAAGATTTTCTGATTGCTAATTCCACTTTTCATGCCACAGGGGTTAAAGTGAGCAGCTGGTGTTCTGTGGCAGTTCAATACAGGAACAGCATATTTGTATTTGTATTTAAATACCGAACAATAAATATGTATTTCCACTGTTGTGGCATGATTAATAATACAAAAACTTAGCTTGAATTCAGTGTGTCCTGCCAGCTCTTTCCCAATGAAAGCAGCTAGCATTAGCTCTAAAAGTGGCCGGATAAAGGCATACAATCATTTTGATATTGGTGACGTTGTTGTATATCTGACATGGTTAAACTTGGGCGTGAATTACATTTTAATATATGTCTTGCTTTTCTTGACAGCGTGAATGATTGCTAATCAACTCACCCACAGTGACCTGAGTGGTCTTGTCTCGGGTCAGATACTCCACCACGGGTCCGGAGACGTACCCCGACCCGAGCAGCAGAACGCGTCTCATCCCCGTCTTCTTCATGATCTGAGCCTTCTCTCTGCAGGACGTCACACACACACACACACACACCGACTCAGAGACACATCATGACACACTGAGACCCACTGATGTTATAAATGTGTCTGTTGATTGTGTATATATAGGATATACATATGTTATATATATTTGTATTTGGGATTGTGGAAAACGGTATTTCGATCTCTCTGTCTGTACACACAAACTGAAAGATGAATTACCCACTCCTTCTTAGCTATAATCACTGAAAGAAATGTCGTTTTATGTGTAAAAGAAGAATCAATTTAGTCAGTTTAAGTTCTATAATCTTAGGGGGTGTAGTGTGCCTGAAAATGATTTAGCAGAAGGGTCTTAAATAGTAAGCTTTGAGTGAAAATGCATGAGTTTGGTGAGGGTAATATTGGATAAATTGGACTTTCTGCACGACTTCTCTCAGGGTTTGTTACCGGATGATTTGATCGAGAATTTTGTTTACCGTGGAGGCATGCGAGACAAAAATAACCTTTTTATTTAACAGTAATTGATTTACAAAGTGTAATTAAGTGTGTGAAGTATTCCTTTAAACACGAGACCAATGTGTTTTCCACATTTGGACGAAAAATTATGATGGAAACACCACAAAGAAAGCCATGAATTATATGATATGTTAAACATTTGAACAGTGTTTGAAGCAAAGATAAAGACAATAAGATAATAATACAGTTAATTAAAAGAAACAGTATCAATGTGACTGATGAGGATGAAGCAGGAAGCACGAGAGGAAGAGGAGGAAAAAACGGGATTGAAGGGGGAGGAAATAAATAAATAAAATGATAAATCAAAAAGTAGAAACAGAAATGAACTAAAAACAGATGTGGTTGTTCGTGAATATATAATAAATATATATATATACTAAACAAACTAACGACTTGACTCCAAATATTAATTGAAATTATTTTATAGACTTGAAAATGATCGTATTTCTTCCTCTAATCCAGTATTCAACTAAGACCCCGTCCACACGGAGACGAAACGGGTTGTATCCGCTACAGTTCTCTATCGTATAGACGGTTCGTCCACACGAGGCCGACACGGAAATGCGGATAACGATAACGGCTCCCAAAGTGGGTAGATCTGCGGACGAAACGCTTGCGGCTCCGTGTGTACGCCCTATACGATCATTTCCTGTTAACGATGACGCCATAGCCCCGCCTCTCCCCATCTCTCCTGCTCACCCGCGTCATTGCTGATGTGTTTCGCCAACAACAACAACAACAATGGCGGATCACAGGGTTGCGTTCGTGCTCCAGACGCTACTGACCATGCTACAGATGTTAGTGCAAAATCTACAGCTCCTCTACCACAACCATCAGCAACAAGTGGACATGGAGAACTACATGAACTACATGTTGCTAAATCCACCGCGGAGAATAACCAGAAGGGCAACCATGGCAACCATGCTCGGGGGGTCTTCTTCGCTGCTTTTGGTGTATTTTGTGGCGGAAGTACAGCGCCACTTACAGGCCCGGCATATGTACTACAGCGTCTCCAGCGGGTCGAGCGGTTTCGTGTGAACGGACACGTTTCTTGAGCCGATTCCGTGTGGACGGAAGACTTTTTTGATATCGAATTCGGTTAGTTTTCGTCTCCGTGTAGACGGGGCCTAAGTAATGTAATAATTATATTTCTATACATGTACATATATCATAAAATAATGTTGTATATGTTCACATATTTATTTGAATACTAAGTAATTAATACATGTATTTAAATTGCAGTCCTAAAATAAATAATAATAAAAAAGTAACCCTTATATAATAATAGTAATATGATAAAAAATATATATTATTCAATTAAATATTAAAAGTATTGTTAATGTTTTCCTCTTTAACAAGCTCCAAGAAAACTGCATTATGGCTTTGACTACTTTTAAATAAACGCTTAAAGAGCCTTTTATTAAATCGAATAATGATACTTTTTTTTAAACAAATATGTAATTTGTATTCATGTATTTCACACATTTTATCTTGTTTTAATTGTCTATTGTCTTGGCTCTTTTTTGGCACATTCAAATGTTTTTGTGGCGTTTCTTTTGCACTTTCCCTCTGTTAGGGAATAACTTGCCCTAGTGTCCTCTTTCACCCTCTGACACAGATGCTCTAACCTTGAGCAGCCGTTATCTCCCTTAAGGAGGGGCTGCCCTAGCAAGTAGTTGTTGTTACCAGTTTGTGACGGGGCAACTCTCGGTCAGAGATAGTCATTGTTGTGGGACACCTGGAACACTTCCTTCTCTGGGTGTAGATGACCCCGAGCCATAAGCGACAACAAATGTGATTCAGTGTCCTCAGCTGTTTAGTCTAACTAATGAAGAATGTTGATTACCCTTAGCGGAACTAGTTAAAACATCATGCGAGAGGAAGGGTTCTTCAGAATTGATTTGGCATCTCAACCGTGTGGTCAGACCGTGGCCCGTGACATGTCTTGTGAATTCTCCGGCCGAAGCTCCGAATAAACCGTCAGTGTTTGCTCTCCATCTCTCTTTGAGTCCTGACTCCAATTGCTTCAGAAGTTTCCCCCACACCCTCCATGTTAGATTTTTGTTTACAAAGAACTCTAAATGGCATATTTTCTGTGTTTTATTTATATATAAACCTGAAGCTAGCCCGTCTTCCACTGTCAAACTAACGATTAAATATCCCGAGCTCAGTGAGATTAAATGACCAGCAGCTCGCCGTATTTTAATTACATCGAGACGTTTTCTCCAAACAACCGGACTCTCTTTAAAAAGTCTGTGATTCTGCATGCTGGATTATCCTAACACCATGACAACAATGACACCATAATGACGGCATCAACCCCAGTGACCTGTGGCATTAATTAGACTTTTACACATAATTATCGGATTTTCTTTACACATATATGAGTTTTTCAGACATGCTGCCCGTATTTCAAGACTTCTTTTTTATTAGACTTTTTTGTGGATATTTTTCACATTTGTTTTACACTTTAGTGCTGTACAGGGTGGTGCTCATGCTACTTTCTTTACATACTGGCTTGTTCATTTCTCCGGCAACGCATCATATTCTAAAAGACCATCATATGTTTGTTTGTTTGTAAATTATTCACGTATTCTTTCAAAAAATGTCCGGACATTGTTCGCATGTTCCTTTGGAGATTTTTCCCATAAATTCTGATATTTTCCACATAAGTATGACTTTTTAAAAATATGTTTTGACCATTTTTCCTTACTGTTTTTCAAATCATTTAGGGATTTTTTTTCCACACACTTTCCACATCATTTTCACATGATTATCAAACATTTAAAAAAAACGTATTTCCAGGACTTTTTTTCACATATTTTGGGGGATATTTAAAGAAAAAGGACGAAAATTCAGCATTTTACAGCCGTTAAAGATAGTGCTCATTCCAACTCCTTTACATACTATTGAATAGTTTAATCTGCATATTCTATAACATCACATATAATAATATAACAACAATGACACCATAATGACGGCATCAACCCCAGTGACCTGTGGCATTAATATCCCACCAGCCAAACACACACTAACCCCCCGCTAAAAGGAGTCAGACCCCCCCGACTCGTTAGCGGTTTGCTAATTGGATGCGACGGGCACGACGTCTGACATGAGGTCCGAAAGGCAGCCAAGCCTCGGCTTCTTAATTAAAAAAAAGAAGAAAAGGGAGACGTGCCCTCACTTTACATATCTTAAGGAGCCAAACTCATCAGGAGGATTAAGATTTGTGGCATGGCTTGTCTGGAAAAAAATGATACTCAAGATCAATTAGGAGGAGAAACGTCTTAGAGGTGGCCTTAATCTAAATATGAGTCTCAGGGAGAAATCTGAGCAAATCTGCATTTAATATGAGAGTTAGTAATCTGTATAACCAAACATTTTTAAAGGTTAGGGAGTCCGAGGAGATTTGATAAAGCTCATTTAAATATGTCTTAAGAGCAGCAGTGAGGTAAAAAGGAAGCGAAGTGTGTGAGAAATTAATTAAAGCAGATTAAAATGTATGTATAAATTACTAAGAAACAGAAGGCTGATGAGGGTGTCAATTAAATGATGGACATGCAGATGAATTATTAGTTTTTGTAAAAAGTCAGAAGAGAAGATCAGTTTCATCTCTGTGTGTTTAGCCTAGCCTAGCCTAGCTTAGCTTAGCACAACACATCGAGAAATGGCTAGCCTAGCTCCCTTTAAAAGTCATTCCCAGTAAAATATTAGCATCAACACGAATGATAGCCACCAGGAAGGAGCCATTTAAAATAATAAAGTGTCTCCTGGAGAGCAGTATTTGTTTTCGGATTGATTAACCGAACCCGAAAACACAAATGAGCTCGCTAATGAGACGTAGCATTTTGTATCTACAGAGCTAACGATGCTAAAGGAACAACAGTAGCAGCCGTGCTAGCTGCAGCATACCAACAACTACTATTAAAGTGGACACACACACATTTTCAAGAGAGTGTGGATGAAGCAAAAGCTGTTAAATGTCACTAATTTAGTGGCTGAAAGGTGGTTGGTTAGCTAAATATTACAATGTTTTATTAATGTATCTATCTATACATTTTCTGTAAACGTAGACGTAAGATTTTCTGATTTCTCTGATTGCCAATTCCACTTTTCATGGCACACGGGTTAAAGTGAGCAGCTGGTGGTCTGTGGCAGTGCTGGGTCAATACAGGAAAAGCATATTTGTATTTAAATACCTAACAATAAATATGTATTTCCACTGTTCACAGACTGATAGAGACAGACGGATGGAGACAGACGGATGGAGACAGACTGATGGAGACAGACTGATGGAGACAGACTGATGGAGACAGACTGATGGAGACAAACTGATGGAGACAGACTGATGGAGACAGACTGATAGAGACAGACTGATGGAGACAAACTGATGGAGACAGACAGATGGAGACAGACAGATGGAGACAGACTGATAGAGACAGACTGATGGAGACAAACTGATGGAGACAGACTGATAGAGACAGACTGATGGAGACAGACTGATGGAGACAGACTGATAGAGACAGACTGATGGACAGACTGATGGACAGACTGATGGAGACAAACTGATGGAGACAGACCGATGGAGACAGACCGATGGAGACAGATGGATGGAGACAGACTGATGGAGACAGACCGATGGAGACAGACTGATAGACAGACGGATGGAGACAGACCGATGGAGACAGACAGTTTTGTGAGAAGAAGATATGTTTCTACCGCTCGTTAGCAAAGGGTCCAGCGCCTGCCGTTGGTTAGCATTAGCACGTTGGTTAGCATTAGCACGCTAGTAATGCAAGGTGTTAGTTCAGAGGCAGGTTAGCAGAGCGGCACCAGAGAGGCTGCAGGACACTAAAACATCAGCGACTGCAACGCTAGAGAAGGTTAGTCAGAGAGGAAGAACAGCAGAGAGACTACAAGCAGAAACATTACTTAGCTTTAGCAAGATGGCTACATTAGAACACGGACATGTCTTTACCTGTCTTTCAGTCTGAACACATTTCATCCATAAAATGGTGGCATTAACTCAAAAGAGCAGTCATTTGGAAATACAGTGAAAACAGAGAAGGGAGAAGTACTCAGGTCTTGTACTTGAGTAAAAGTAGAAGTACTCAGATCTTGTACTTGAGTAAAAGTAGAAGTACTCAGATATTGTACTTTAGTAAAAGTAGAAGTACTCAGATCTTGTACTTGAGTAAAAGTAGAAGTACTCAGATATTGTACTTTAGTAAAAGTAGAAGTACTCAGATCGTGTAATTGAGTAAAAGTAGAAGTACTCAGATCTTGTACTTGAGTAAAAGTAGAAGTACTCAGATATTGTACTTGAGTAAAAGTACTCAGATATTGTACTTTAGTAAAAGTAGAAGTACTCAGATCGTGTAATTGAGTAAAAGTAGAAGTACTCAGGTCTTGTACTTGAGTAAAAGTAGAAGTACTCAGATCTTGTACTTGAGTAAAAGTAGAAGTACTCAGATCTTGTACTTTAGTCAAAGTAGAAGTACTCAGATCTTGTACTTGAGTAAAAGTAGAAGTACTCAGATATTGTACTTTAGTCAAAGTAGAAGTACTCAGATCTTGTACTTGAGTAAAAGTAGAAGTACTCAGATCTTGTACTTGAGTAAAAGTAGAAGTACCAGAGTGTAGGAATACTCTGTTACAGTAAAAGTAGTCGTTGTGCAGATTGGTCCATTTCAGAATAATATATATGATATGTTTTATAATGATTGATCATGAAAGTGTTCTCAAAGCTGGTAAAGGTGCAGCTAGTTTGAATGACTTTGTATACTGCAGGGTAGCTTGTGGATTCACTCCAGGTGGAACTAAAGTCTGATTTAACACTTGATTATATTTCACATCATTCATCCACATCTGTGAAGTCACTAAAGGTATTAAATACATGTAGTGGAGGAAAAGTACACTATGTACATACTGACAGTTTCAGATAGAGATGAGTCTTACCTCCGCTCTCGTAGTTTGTTGATGTATTCAAACTTCGGGGTGAGGACTCCGTTCGAGGTGATGACGGCCTTTAGGAGCAGAGAAATAACGTAACATATTAGTACAAATGTGAGTATTTTCAGTCATTTTACAAGAGTACACATACCCTACGTTTGCCATAAACATGAATAAAGTTGGCAGGTCATGGGGGAAGAAGAAAAAAATACAGTCATATTTCTTGGCTGTATTTAAAGCAATACTAAAATGTGCTCGAGATCATGAGAGAAAATTGCTGAGTCATGAAATGTTTTCTGATTAAATGAAGAAATATTAGATTTAAAAAAACATGCTTTTGTAGGAAATACATTTAAATATTTAAACTTACGTCTCTGACTTGCGGGCTGAAGTCTTCCTCGTCCAGCGGGCGGCTGGCGTCTGACGGCAGCTGATGATGACACAACACTAACTTTAAACCCGTCTCTATTTTAAACACCCGACACCTGCTGCAGCGCTCTCTCACAGCAAACTCAACCCGAGGAACCAGTTACCAGAGGTGTGGACTCGAGTCCAAGTCATGTGACTCGAGTTACCAATTTGATGACTTTGGACTCGACTTGACAAAATCACAAAACACTTGCGACTCGACTTGGACTTGAACACCAATGACTCGGGACTTGACTTGGACTTGAGCCTTCTGACTTGAGGTGACTTGATAATTTAATTCAGGGGTCTCCAACACGCCGATCGCGAGTTGCCGTTAGGAGAGCAGAATCTTCAGCCGCTGCAACTCTTGCTGAGAATCCATGCAGGCAGGGGCGGGACTTTATTTTGCTGAGCCACCATGCGGCCAATCATATGCGAGGACACACTAGGATCATACCATTATGTGAAAGAAGGGTGGGGGGCAGACGCTCCAAAGACAGCACGTGTAGTGGTACAGGCCAGCTACAGAGCCACGGGGAGACGGGGAGCCGGATTTAAATGCAAGCGCGTCGGAAAAAGTCAAGAAATTTGCGAAAACCGAAAAAAGAAGCAGCTTCTGGCTGCATTTCAATGATATTGGAGAAAGCAAAGCTGAGTGCAGGATTTGTAAAATGAAAATAACCTTCAGAGCAGGGTTTTTATTTGGTAACCACTCAGGATTTATTGCCAGAGGTGGGAGAAGTTCAGATCTTGTACTTGAGTAAAAGTACCAGAGTGTAGGAATACTCGGTTACAATAAAAAGTCCTGCATTCAAAATGTTACAAGTAAAAGTACAAAAGTATTATCATCAAAATATAGTTAAAGTACCACCTGCAGAGGGATCTAGATTCAGGTGTTCTTTTCCCCATAGAGACGCCTCGCTGCACATTATCCCTTGCATAAAGATAGGTTGTGGTTCCCTTATAACATGTTGTACACAGTGGAAATAAACATTCTGGTCACCTCAACATCAGGGATCTTATACATTAAACTCCTTCTGAATCAAACCGTCACGGTAGCCTTACCTTACTGATCCCTCTTACAATAGAAGACAAACACGTTACTTTACCAGCAGAGAGGAAATGGATTATTAAATTATTAATGTGACTAATAAAGAGCAGTTTGATTATTAAGTATTATTCTGTTGATCGATGTCATTACATTGGTTGAAAAGCACATAATGACTTGTTTAAGACTCGTTTTGTCAAAGTTTAGGACTTGGACTTGACTTGAACTTTCCCATCCTGACTTGAGACTTGACTCGGACTTGAGCGCAAAGACTTGAGACTTGACTCGGACTTGCAAAACAATGACTTGGTCCCACCTCTGCCAGTTACCCTCCTAAACCAAACACCCGGTATTCGACTGCAACCCCAGAACCCCTTACCATCTCCCAGAGGTACGGGAAGAGCCGGTCTCCAAAATAATCCGTGGCTCCGATGGGAAGCTGAGCGGGGAGGTTATCGATGGAGCACATCAGGATCCCGTTACCCTCCACACTGCGGGACAAGAAGACCCTTTAAAACTGTACCGTCAAATTACAATACCCTTTAACACTGTCAGCATTAAAGGTCACCTATTATGCAAAATCCACTTTTTCTGGAACAGCTGGAAATTAGCAATGTTGGCTAAAGCTGCCCCATTTACTGTTTCTCAAACTTACCTACCCTACCTTTAATATTAAACATATTTGATCTTTTCTTTTTTAAATATATTTTTCTTTTCTATATATTTATACTATACTATTACCTCCTATGTTAATATGAATATAATTATTCCTCTGTAATCCATTTTATCGTTTTTCTTAATTTCACTTATACTGTATGTTATTACAAACAATATTATTATTTTTAATTTATTAGTATTTATGAGTGAGAGTGAGAGGTGGGATCAGATTACCTTTTTAAAAAAATATATATATTGATTTTCAGTTATTTTACTTATAACTTCTTTTTTTCTCACTTTCACCTTTTTAATAAAATGTTTTCCATTTATTTAGACTGACAGCCTGCAGATCAGATCAGCTCAGCTCAGAGTGAGAGGTGTTACAGGTGGGATCAGATTACCTGTCGTGGTCCACGTGCTGGTCGGCGTCGTACATACAGAAGGGTTTATCGATGGTGGTGCACTCGTTCATGAAGCCTATGGATCCCCCGGTGTCAGCGGAGATATCGCAGATGGCCAGAAGTCTGCAGAAAGAGAGAGGAAGCGTTTTCAGGAGGTCAGAGCGACACGCTGAACTGTCACCGTGTACACAGGAGCCCAGATAGGGAGGTGACCTCTGACCTCTGTGGAGATTCAATCACTGAAGCACACATTCAGCTGTCAGTAAACCACATTTAGAGAGAGGTTAAGGACATGTATCTGCTACTGGTGAATAGATAGAGTCCCTGAAAAGAAAACATATGTAAAATGTCTGCAAACAGCTTCTTTTTTCAGTGTCGAGTTTTTAAGAAGCAGAATTAACTGGCAACGTGCTGATTTAGAGAGGACTCTTTAAAGTAGAGACACTACATACTGATATACACCTGAACATCAGCAGGAGAGGACTCTTTAAAGTAGAGACGCTACATACTGATATACACCTGAACATCAGCAGGAGAGGACTCTTTAAAGTAGAAACACTACATACTGATATACACCTGAACATCAGGAGGAGAGGACTCTTTAAAGTAGAGACACTACATACTGATATACACCTGAACATCAGTAGGAGAGGACTCTTTAAAGTAGAGACACTACATACTGATATCAGGGATGCAAACTCATCAGGTATGAAAAAGGTGACAAGGATCCGACCCCACGGAATATCGGCTTTAAAATGAGGAATAACAGGATTTTAGCAGTCAGAACAACTAAAGCAGCAGTTAATAATAACAGAAACGCCAAAGAGTCACATCTAATAGAAATATATTTAAGCATTTATTTTAATTGTGGAGCAGTCAGTTTATAATTTTGGCAGGACTGTTGAGCATTTTGAAAATGTATTTTCATGCCTCTGTGCAAGGCTGTCTTTCTATCTTTATAGCCAGTGGTGTAAAGTAACTAAGTTCATAAACTCAAGTACTATACTTGGGTACAATTTTTAGATACTTGTACTTTATTTAAGTATTTCAATGTTTTGCTACTTTGTTCTTCTTCTCCTCTACAGTTCAGAGGTAAATGGTGTACTTTTACTCTACTACATGTATTGAATACCTTTAGTTACTTCACAGATCTGGATGAATGATGTGAAATATAATCAAGTGTTAAATCAGACTTTAGTTCCACCTGGAGTAAATCCACAAGCTACCCTGCAGTATACAAAGTCATTCAAACTAGCTGCACCTTTACCAGCTTTGAGAACACTTTGATGATCAATCATTATAAAACATATCATATATATTATTCTGAAATGGACCAATCTGCACAATGACTACTTTTACTGTCGCTACTTTAACTATATTTTGATGATAATACTTTTCTACTTTTACTTGAGGAACATTTTGAATGCAGGACTTTTACTGTAACAGAGTATTCCTACACTCTGGTACTTCTACTTTTACTCAAGTACAAGATCTGAGTACTTTTACTTTTACTCAAGAACAAGATCTGAGTACTTCTACTTTTACTCAAGAACAAGATCTGAGTACTTCTACTTGTACTCAAGTACAAGACCTGAGTACTTCTACTTTTACTCAAGTACAAGATACTTATACCACCTCCGTTTATAGGCTATGAAAGAAACTATTTGAAAACGAAGGCTAAAGCTAACGTTAGCAGATAGTGACAATGTATGCTAGTTAGCTAGCTCAACGATTCATTAAATAATATTGCGACAGAAACACTTTTCAGTGCACATCACGCTCTGCTGCTCCGAACACCCCGTTCTAACCAGCGGTCCAGTCTGTGCCACAGTGACTCTGGACCGCACAGTTAATATTAACGAACGCACCGTAGGTAATGTAGCTGCTGAAGCTAGACCCTCATCCCGGAGCAGAGCCGACAGGCAGGAAGACTTGTGCTCGCGCTTCATTATAATATATAAAAAAAGAACACCATGCGTGTCATGATGGCACATAACAGCTCGCGGCCGCAGATTACTCCGGGTCCCAGACCCCCCCCATACCCCAAAAATATTTTTATTGCAGATCTACATGAATCACACAAACGACCTATTTTGGAATCAAAACGGCGAATTTCGCCGAAAGGTGACAAGTTTGCATCCCTGTGATATACACCTGAACATCAGCAGGAGAGGACTCTTTAAAGTAGAGACACTACATACTGATATACACCTGAACATCAGCAGGAGAGGACTCTTTAAAGTAGAGACACTACATACTGATATACACCTGAACATCAGCAGGAGAGGACTCTTTAAAGTAGAAACACTACATACTGATATACACCTGAACATCAGCAGGAGAGGACTCTTTAAAGTAGAGACACTACATACTGATATACACCTGAACATCAGCAGGAGAGGACTCTTTAAAGTAGAGACACTACATACTGATATACACCTGAACATCAGCAGGAGAGGACCCTTTAAAGTAGAAACACTACATACTGATATACACCTGAACATCAGCAGGAGAGGACTCTTTAAAGTAGAGACACTACATACTGATATACACCTGAACATCAGCAGGAGAGGACTCTTTAAAGTAGAGACACTACATACTGATATACACCTGAACATCAGCAGGAGAGGACTCTTTAAAGTAGAGACACTACATACTGATATACACCTGAACATCAGCAGGAGAGGACTCTTTAAAGTAGAGACACTACATACTGATGTACACCTGCACATCAGCAGGAGGGGACTCTTTAAAGTAGAGACACTACATACTGATATACACCTGAACATCAGCAGGAGAGGACTCTTTAAAGTAGAGACTCTTAGCATCATTAACAGTGTCAGAAGTTTCTTTTTACTTCCCGTTTCAACGTCCTCCTGACACAAAGCCAGGTGGAAATAACTTATTAATTAGCTTGGGTTAATCGTTAGCTAATGTTACAAATTTTCCAGGGGTTTATGATAGTGTATCTGTCCACAGTAGCTCCTGTTATCTCGCTTGTGTTTGCACATGACAAATTAAAATGAGACGACAGCCAAACCTCTTATCTACCTGACAAACAAGAGGTGAGCAGAGGTTAGTGGCCTCAGTGTGAACTGAGGCGAAGCTTCAGTGAAAGATATGAAGGGTTTCTCCAGGTGAATCTTTTCAAACACAGGAGGTGATTTTCAGAATAAAAGCCCAACAGGATGCTCTTACCACCTTTACAGCTCACTTAAAAACATGGTTCACTGACTACCTGCACACACTCGTCTGTGTTGGATATGGCGTGTGTGTTACATGTCATGGACCCCTCGTTTCTGTTGTGTGATTGTGATGTGCTATATGTGACATGTATGTAGTAACTGTCTATTATCATCTGGACAACAGCTAGAAATTAGCCATGTTGGCTAAAGCTGCTCCATTCACTGTTTCTTTGTGACAGTTGATCAATGGGGACTGTCCACAACACTATAAACAAACAAACTAAACTAAACGTACTTGTGCGGCAGGTGTGGAGCTCCCTCTGTGGCCGGAGGCGACTTCTTCAGAGGTCTGATCAACTTCTGGGCATCGATTCTTCTGAGGAGGCGGGGGGTGTGGGGGTCCCAGTAAACCCCGTTAATCAGGCAGGTGGTGTAGGGCGCCACCTGTAGAACATGACATTACATTATTATTATTATTACATATTACTTGTTAGACGATTTTTGAGTTAGAGCGACTTGCTGACGGCAGCGGGGATTGAACCAGTGCCCCCCTGATCCCCCTGATGCGGAGATCAGCGCACTATAATTTCATTGCCATTTCTACACTGTAGTTTTGTGCATATGACACTAAAACCTTTGAATCTTTTAATCTTAACGCACAATTAATTGCGACACAAAAAGGGAAGAAACTTAAATGCTAACTTCCTGTGCTCACCTACAACAATCCCTAAAAAAAAAAATCCCTCCCTCCCTGCCACCCTGCCCCCTGTATTGATCAGATGGACGTAATCAATTCCCTCTCTTTAAGGCCCGCATGTGATGAAAGTCAACACAAAGTGAAATGAGGTCACAGCTCTGAGAAACCCTGCCACGTGTCGTTTGTTCTGTAACAGTAAACACACAGTGAGCCGGGCAGCAGCAGTTTGGACTGAAATAGAGGAGGGGGAGGGACAGCAGCAGGTGTGGAGGGGGGGTTGTAACTAAAAAGGGATGAAAGCGGGGAGACCAAGCCCCCAGGAAGTGCTCCGGACTCTGAGGAAAATATTCCTAGTGGCCAAACGGCGGTACTACTATTTCCGTATCAGTCCGTGACGTCACTGGGCCCAGAAAGACTTTTCCCCATTGACTAACATTGGGAAAGAGACGTCTGTAAATCAGCAGATCATTTTCTTTGAACTAAATAAACTAAGATAAGACTTTATTTATCCCGAAAGGAAATTGTTGTGCCAGAGTTACAAAAATACCCAGCACGAACACTTGTATAGCCTTTATTAGAATCATTAGGTCCTTAAAGATGTAAAATGCACTAAAGCCGAATCCAGATTTAATTTCTCTCTCCATTCATTCTACTGAACAGCGGGAGATCAGCGGCGGGTCTTAATGTCAGGAGGCGGGGCTTAAAGAAAACTTTAACTGCGCATGCTCTATGAGCTACATACGGGTCATTCTGCTCTGACAGCAAGGCATGATGGGTAATCTGTGACGTTTTGCTCTCGACAATGTCAGGCCATTTTGTCCTCATGAGCCAATGAGCAGCTCTCATAGGAAAGAACGCTGTATCCAGTCCTTATTAAACATCCATGGGCAGAGGTGGCAAAAGTAAACACATCCTTTACTCAAGTAGAAGTACAGATACTCGTGTTTAAAGATACTCTGGTGAAAGTAGAAGTACTGACTAAACTTCTTTACTCAAGTAAAAGTAAAGAGGCTTTGAAATGTACTTCAGTAAAAAGTACCCATAACTAGCAGCTGTTTTAAAGAGTACCTGACCTCCCTTTATATTAATAGAACAATAATGTCATTGTTAGCTAATGAATGTTTCCATGCTGAACAACGGCAACATGACAACGTTTTCATTGGTCCCTCTTCTTTAGAGAAGACCAGGAAATGATGGATACACGGATCGTGTTCAAATCAATAGGCACGCAATGACTCTAAATAATAATGATCACGCCACCAAACACACATTCAAACTAAAGGAACCAGCCTGTTTGGGAAATGTGAGAAGTAGAAAGTACAGGTATTTGTGTTCAACATGTAAGAAGTAGAAAGTACAGGTATTTGGGTTCAACATGTAAGAAGTAGAAAGTACAGGTATTTGTGTTCAAAATGTAAGAAGTAGAAAGTACAGGTATTTGTGTTCAACATGTAAGAAGTAGAAAGTACATGTATTTGTGTTCAAAATGTAAGAAGTAGAAAGTACAGGTATTTGTGTTCAAAATGTAAGAAGTAGAAAGTACAGGTATTTGTGTTCAAAATGTAAGAAGTAGAAAGTACAGGTATTTGTGTTCAAAATGTAAGAAGTAGAAAGTACATGTATTTGTGTTCAAAATGTAAGAAGTAGAAAGTACAGGTATTTGTGTTAAAAATGTAAGAAGTCAAAGTAAAAAGTCGTCAGAAAAATAAGTAGTGGAGTAAAGTACTGATATCAGAAAGATGTACTTAAGTACAGTAACGAAGTATTTGTACTCCACTACTTCCTCTGTTTAAGGGGGAGACTTACGCTGGTCCTGAAGTGCGAGGTGTAAAGCTCCGGGTGGTCCTCGTACTCCATGGGGTCGTAGAAGCCGTCGCTCTTCCTCATCAGGTGGTGATGACGACTCAGCACGGTGGCGTACACTCGGGACATTTCTGACCGGAAAACAAGGGGGAAAATCCCATTGAATAGAATCCTTTATTTTCATTATACAGGTACAATGAGATAAGTAGAGCTACTCCTTTTTTTTTTTAAGGTGACGTCAAAAATACAAACAAGACACGTACAACATTCAGGAGGAGACAACATACAAACAACAAGCATTCATACTTCAATATGCAGATAAAGTTGAAGTGCAGGAATATATCGGTTTGAGTAAATACATTGGCTTTTAGTTGAGGGAAAAAATACTGTGGAAAACTTTGGGAATATTCATTTTTATATTTGTGGAAAGACTTCGGATTCACGGTGGCTAAACTGTCTCCAGTAAACACTAAAGGGAACAGCAGAAGAAGACAGACAGGAAGTAAACACTAAAGGGAACAGCAGAAGAAGACAGACAGGAAGTAAACACTAAAGGGAACAGCAGAAGAAGACGGAAAGGAGGTAAACACTAAAGGGAACAGCAGAAGAAGAAAGACAGGAAGTAAACACTAAAGGGAACAGCAGAAGAAGACGGAAAGGAGGCAAACACTAAAGGGAACAGCAGAAGAAGACAGACAGGAAGCAAACACTAAAGCGAACAGCAAAAGAAGACAGACAGGAGGTAAACACTAAAGGGAACAGCAGAAGAAGACAGACAGGAAGTAAACACTAAAGGGAACAGCAGAAGAAGACAGACAGGAAGTAAACACTAAAGGGAACAGCAGAAGAAGACGGAAAGGAGGTAAACATTAAAGGGAACAGCAGAAGAAGAAAGACAGGAAGTAAACACTAAAGGGAACAGCAGAAGAAGACGGAAAGGAGGCAAACACTAAAGGGAACAGCAGAAGAAGACGGAAAGGAGGCAAACACTAAAGGGAACAGCAGAAGAAGACAGACAGGAAGCAAACACTAAAGCGAACAGCAAAAGAAGACAGACAGGAGGTAAACACTAAAGGGAACAGCAGAAGAAGACGGAAAGGAGGTAAACACTAAAGGGAACAGCAGAAGAAGACAGACAGGAAGTAAACACTAAAGGGAACAGCAGAAGAAGACAGACAGGAAGAAAACACTAAAGGGAACAGCAGAAGAAGACAGACAGGAAGTAAACACTAAAGGGAACAGCAGAAGAAGACAGAGAGGAAGTAAACACTAAAGGGAACAGCAGAAGAAGACAGAGAGGAAGTAAACACTAAAGGGAACAGCAGAAGAAGACAGACAGGAAGTAAACACTAAAGGGAACAGCAGAAGAAGACAGACAGGAAGTAAACACTAAAGGGAACAGCAGAAGAAGACAGACAGGAAGTAAACCTAAAGGGAACAGCAGAAGAAGACAGACGGGAAGTAACACTAAGGGAACAGCAGAAGAAGACAGACGGGAAGTAACACTAAAGGGAACAGCAGAAGAAGACAGACGGGAGTAAACACTAAAGGGAACAGCAGAAGAGACAGACGGGAAGTAAACACTAAAGGGAACAGCAGAAGAAGACAGACAGGAAGTAAAACACTAAAGGGAACAGCAGAAGAAGACGGAAAGGAGGTAAACACTAAAGGGGAACAGCAGAAGAAGACAGACGGGAGTAAACACTAAAGGGAACAGCGAAGAAGAGACGGAAAGGAGGTAACACTAAAGGGAACAGCAGAAGAAGACAGACAGGAAGTAAACACTAAGGGAACAGCAGAAGGAAGACAGACAGGAAGTGAAATCACGAAAGGGAACAGCAGAAGAAGACAGAGAGGAAGTAAACACTAAAGGGAACAGCAGAAGAAGACAGACAGGAAGTAAACACTAAAGGGAACAGCAGAAGAAGACAGACAGGAAGTAAACACTAAAGGGAACAGCAGAAGAAGACAGGAAGTAAACACTAAAGGGAACAGCAGAAGAAGACAGGAAGTAAACACTAAAGGGAACAGCAGAAGAAGACAGGAAGTAAACACTAAAGGGAACAGCAGAAGAAGACAGGAAGTAAACACTAAAGGGAACAGCGGAGGAAGACAGACAGGAAGTAAACACTAAAGGGAACAGCAGAAGAAGACAGACAGGAAGTAAACACTAAAGGGAACAGCAGAAGAAGACGGACAGGAAGTAAACACTAAAGGGAACAGCAGAAGAAGACAGACAGGAAGTAAACACTAAAGGGAACAGCGGAGGAAGAAAGACAGGAAGTAAACACTAAAGGGAACAGCAGAAGAAGAAAGACAGGAAGTAAACACTAAAGGGAACAGCAGAAGAAGACAGACAGGAAGTAAACACTAAAGGGAACAGCAGAAGAAGACAGACAGGAAGTAAACACTAAAGGGAACAGCAGAAGAAGACGGAAAGGAGGTAAACACTAAAGGGAACAGCAGAAGAAGAAAGACAGGAAGTAAACACTAAAGGGAACAGCAGAAGAAGACGGAAAGGAGGCAAACACTAAAGGGAACAGGCAGAAGAAGACGGAAAGGAGGCAAACACTAAAGGGAAAAGCAGACAGAAGAAGACGGAAAGGAGGCCAACACTAAAGCTCGAACAGCAACAAGAAGACAGGACAGGAGGTAAACACTAAAGGGAACAGCAGAAGAAGACAGACAGGAAGTAAACACTAAAGGGAACAGCAGAAGAAGACAGACAGGAAGTAAACACTAAAGGGAACAGCAGAAGAAGACGGAAAGGAGGTAAACACTAAAGGGAACAGCAGAAGAAGAAAGAAAGGTAAGTAAACACTTAAGGGAACAGAGAAGACAGACCAATAAAGGGAACAGCCAGAAGAAGACAGACAGGAAGAAAACACTAAAGGGAACAGCAGAAGAAGACAGACAGGAAGTAAACACTAAAGGGAACAGCAGAAGAGACAGAGAGGAAGTAAAACACTAAAGGGAACAGCAGAGGAAGACAGACGGAGGAAAGTAAAACACTAAAGGGAACAGCAGAAGAAGACAGACAGGAAGTAAACACTAAAGGGAACAGCAGAAGAGACAGACAGGAAGTAAAACACTAAAGGGAACAGCAGAAGAAGACAGACGGGAAGTAAACACTAAAGGGAACAGCAGAAGAAGACAGACGGGAAGTAAACACTAAAGGGAACAGCAGAAGAATACAGACGGGAAGTAAACACTAAAGGGAACAGCAGAAGAAGACAGACGGGAAGTAAACACTAAAGGGAACAGCAGAAGAAGACAGACGGGAAGGGTAAACACTAAAGGGAACAGCAGAAGAAGACAGACAGGAAAGTAAACACTAAAGGGAACAGCAGAAGAAGACGGAAAGGAGGTAAACACTAAAGGGAACAGCAGAAGAAGACAGACGGGAGGTAAACACTAAATGGAACAGCAGAAGAAGACGGAAAGGAGGTAAACACTAAAGGGAACAGCAGAAGAAGACAGACAGGAAGTAAACACTAAAGGGAACAGCAGAAGAAGACAGGAAGTAAACACTAAAGGGAACAGCAGAAGAAGACAGGAAGTAAACACTAAAGGGAACAGCGGAGGAAGACAGACAGGAAGTAAACACTAAAGGGAACAGCAGAAGAAGACAGACAGGAAGTAAACACTAAAGGGAACAGCAGAAGAAGACAGACAGGAAGTAAACACTAAAGGGAACAGCAGAAGAAGACAGGAAGTAAACACTAAAGGGAACAGCAGAAGAAGACAGGAAGTAAACACTAAAGGGAACAGCGGAGGAAGACAGAGAGGAAGTAAACACTAAAGGGAACAGCAGAAGAAGACAGAGAGGAAGTAAACACTAAAGGGAACAGCAGAAGAAGACAGACAGGAAGTAAACACTAAAGGGAACAGCAGAAGAAGACAGACAGGAAGTAAACACTAAAGGGAACAGCAGAAGAAGACAGACAGGAAGTAAACACTAAAGGGAACAGCAGAAGAAGACAGACGGGAAGTAAACACTAAAGGGAACAGCAGAAGAAGACAGACGGGAAGTAAACACTAAAGGGAACAGCAGAAGAATACAGACGGGAAGTAAACACTAAGGGAACAGCAGAAGAAGACAGACGGGAAGTAAACACTAAAGGGAACAGCAGAAGAAGACAGACGGGAAGTAAACACTAAAGGGAACAGCAGAAGAAGACAGACAGGAAGTAAACACTAAAGGGAACAGCAGAAGAAGACGGAAAGGAGGTAAACACTAAAGGGAACAGCAGAAGAAGACAGACGGGAGGTAAACACTAAAGGGAACAGCAGAAGAAGACGGAAAGGAGGTAAACACTAAAGGGAACAGCAGAAGAAGACAGACAGGAAGTAAACACTAAAGGGAACAGCAGAAGAAGACAGACAGGAAGTAAACACTAAAGGGAACAGCAGAAGAAGACAGAGAGGAAGTAAACACTAAAGGGAACAGCAGAAGAAGACAGACAGGAAGTAAACACTAAAGGGAACAGCAGAAGAAGACAGACAGGAAGTAAACACTAAAGGGAACAGCAGAAGAAGACAGGAAGTAAACACTAAAGGGAACAGCAGAAGAAGACAGACAGGAAGTAAACACTAAAGGGAACAGCAGAAGAAGACAGACAGGAAGTAAACACTAAAGGGAACAGCAGAAGAAGACAGACAGGAAGTAAACACTAAAGGGAACAGCAGAAGAAGACAGACAGGAAGTAAACACTAAAGGGAACAGCAGAAGAAGACAGACAGGAAGAAAACACTAAAGGGAACAGCAGAAGAAGACAGACAGGAAGTAAACACTAAAGGGAACAGCAGAAGAAGACAGACAGGAAGTAAACACTAAAGGGAACAGCAGAAGAAGACAGGAAGTAAACACTAAAGGGAACAGCAGAAGAAGACAGGAAGTAAACACTAAAGGGAACAGCGGAGGAAGACAGACAGGAAGTAAACACTAAAGGGAACAGCAGAAGAAGACAGACAGGAAGTAACACTAAAGGGAACAGCAGAAGAAGACAGACAGGAAGTAAACACTAAAGGGAACAGCAGAAGAAGACAGGAAGTAAACACTAAAGGGAACAGCAGAAGAAGACAGGAAGTAAACACTAAAGGGAACAGCGGAGGAAGACAGACAGGAAGTAAACACTAAAGGGAACAGCAGAAGAAGACAGACAGGAAGTAAACACTAAAGGGAACAGCAGAAGAAGACGGACAGGAAGTAAACACTAAAGGGAACAGCAGAAGAAGACAGACAGGAAGTAAACACTAAAGGGAACAGCGGAGGAAGAAAGACAGGAAGTAAACACTAAAGGGAACAGCAGAAGAAGAAAGACAGGAAGTAAACACTAAAGGGAACAGCAGAAGAAGACGGAAAGGAAGTAAACACTAAAGGGAACAGCAGAAGAAGACAGACAGGAAGTAAACACTAAAGGGAACAGCAGAAGAAGACAGACAGGAAGTAAACACTAAAGGGAACAGCAGAAGAAGACAGACAGGAAGTAAACACTAAAGGGAACAGCAGAAGAAGACAGACAGGAAGTAAACACTAAAGGGAACAGCAGAAGACAGACAGGAAGTAAACACCGTCAGTTTAAGTTACGCCAATGAATAAAAGGAGACACTATTCAGTCCTGAGACTTCCTCTGCTTACGTTTTACCAGCCTTACGACAAAGAGAAGCGCAGGAACCTCTTACCTCCAATTTCCGAGACGTCCTTCAACTCGTGAGGCTCAACGTATTCAACAGGAAGCTCGTTAAGGATGTCCTGGGCTCCCTAAAAGGAAGAGAAGAGGATATCAAATGAAATATCTCACTGATACCGTTGGGACTGCCCAATTATCAAAGACTTTTGGAAAGCAAAGAACCAAGAACTCTGTTTTCTTGGTGATTCCAAGACTTAAAAACACCAAGAAAAAACTAATTGTTATTTCTCTTATTTAAAAGGTGGGGTAGGTAAGTTTGAGAAACCGGCTCGAGATACACTTTTTGTTATATTCCATGGAATGCTCTTAACATCCCGATAGCAATGAATATCTTAAGTGCTTTGACAAAAAATCCATAAAAAAATGTCATCTGTGGAAGCTGTAGTACTGTAAAAAGCACGACCAATCATCTGAGCCGGCTCAATGTCTGGCCTTAGAGAAATTAAGCTATGCTATAAAAGAAAATTGTGAAATCTTCTATAAAATACGGCAGAAATTCCTACATTTTTGGAAAAGGAAAGAGTTGGGACCATGTCGAATTAATACTTAAAAAAATGCTAAATATGATTGGATAGTATTAAGCTTCTTGTAAACAAGCTTTGCAATTTATTGTTAAGACTTTTTGATAATTTCACATTAATTAAGCATTTTTGTACATATCTTTGATCACAGATTTCTTTATGTTTTTGAGTTTTCCTTTCCCTTTTTAAACATTTCATAGTATTTCTTATATTTTTGGGGTGGTTAAACATGTGTGTATAGTCTTTGACTGGAAAAAAACTAAAATGGCAATAATTACATTTGTCAAAACAAAAACAAAATCGTATTCTTTTGACTGTTATATTTTTTTCAATTGTTTTTTTGTGTGTGTTAAGTTAAAGTGGACCTATCATGCTATATTTGAATAATATAGTGTAGGACCATACCTATATAAGGCATATTTATACTTTTTGTTTTTCAAAATACCAAACAGATCATGCATTTTAGCCATGCCTCATTTCGCTCAATTTGCACTTTTTTAGCTCCGTTTTAGCAAGGGCTGATTCTGTGAGAACAGCACCACCTACAGGCCTGGCATATGTACTACAGCGTCTCCAGCGCTTTCGAACGGCAATGGCCGTGGCTGTCTCCTCCTGATTGGTGGAGTTGGCCCAATAGCCGTAGCGCCACCGTCCTGACGTCAGGACAGTGTTCAAATCTGGATCAGTTTTTATCAGATCCGTTGCAGCCCCTTTTTTAGAGATTTGGGTATGGAGGAAAATAGAGAGGGTTGTGTTTTCTGACACTTGGTGAGTTCCCTGGAACACCGGGGACACATATTCATGTAGAAAAGACGTACACAAGTGCATTTTGCATGATAGGTCCCCTTTAAACCTTGCTGTACCTTGGAGACGTTTCCGGTTCCGGTGAAACAAAACGTGACGGGGCCGATGGATTTGGGCATGAGCCCCATGGAGATCTCATACCCACAATCCCTCACTGCCTGAATGGCCTGGCTCACGCTCCTGTAGTTATGAGCCATGCCGATGTGCTGTGGAAGGAGAACAGAGACAGGAAGTGATTTTAAAGGTCCCCTATTATACTGTTTTTCATTACTTTATCATAGGTCTCAGATATATACAAAACATGTCTCTGAAGTGTTTGGCTCCAAACACCAAACAGATCATTGCAGCATTACCCAGAATCCCCTCTGTTTCAGCCCTGTTTCCAAAGTGCTGATTCTCTGTCTGTTACTTCAGATGAAAATAAGGAGCCCCTCCCCACGCCCCTCTGAGAGAGATTTGGTTACAAAGAACTCAATGGCGCTCTAGGAGGAGATTCAGGTGATAAGGGGGGGGGGGGGGGGGTTACCTTGGTTGGTGATTGGCTAATGGTTACACAAGACAAAACATCGTTATGACATCACAAAGTGACCAAAATCTGATCAGCTCATTTTCAGACAGGTTTTTATATAAATGGATCAAAAAGAGAGAGAATCTTTGTTCCTGAAACTTTCAGAGTCTCTTTACACAGAGGGGACACATGTTGATGAAGAAGAGACATGAAGAAGAGGGGACACATGTTGATGTAGAAGAGACATGAAGAAGAGGGGACACATGTTGATGTAGAAGAGACATGAAGAAGAGGGGACACATGTTGATGTAGAAGAGACATGAAGAAGAGAGGACACATGTTGATGTAGAAGAGACATGAAGAAGAGGGGACACATGTTGATGTAGAAGAGACATGAAGAAGAGGGGACACATGTTGATGAAGAAGAGACATGAAGAAGAGGGGACACATGTTGATGTAGAAGAGACATGAAGAAGAGGGGACACATGTTGATGAAGAAGAGACATGAAGAAGAGGGGACACATGTTGATGTAGAAGAGACATGAAGAAGAGGGGACACATGTTGATGTAGAAGAGACATGAAGAAGAGGGGACACATGTTGATGTAGAAGAGACATGAAGAAGAGGGGACACATGTTGATGTAGAAGAGACATGAAGAAGAGAGGACACATGTTGATGTAGAAGAGACATGAAGAAGAGAGGACACATGTTGATGTAGAAGAGACATGAAGAAGAGGGACACATGTTGATGTAGAAGAGACATGAAGAAGAGGGGACACATGTTGATGTAGAAGAGACATGAAGAAGAGGGACACATGTTGATGTAGAAGAGACATGAAGAAGAGAGGACACATGTTGATGTAGAAGAGACATGAAGAAGAGAGGCACATGTTGATGTAGAAGAGACATGAAGAAGAGGGGACACATGTTGATGTAGAAGAGACATGAAGAAGAGGGGACACATGTTGATGAAGAAGAGACATGAAGAAGAGGGGACACATGTTGATGTAGAAGAGACATGAAGAAGAGGGGACACATGTTGATGAAGAAGAGACATGAAGAAGAGGGGACACATGTTGATGTAGAAGAGACATGAAGAAGAGGGGACACATGTTGATGTAGAAGAGACATGAAGAAGAGGGGACACATGTTGATGTAGAAGAGACATGAAGAAGAGGGGACACATGTTGATGTAGAAGAGACATGAAGAAGAGGGGACACATGTTGATGTAGAAGAGACATGAAGAAGTGGATTTTGCATAATAGGTGACCTTTAAGTACTTGATGACTGTTTTCTTACCAGGAAGGGAGTGTGGTGCCCGAGAGCCAGGAAGCGAAGCCCCAAACCGTGCAAAATGTTTATCATTCCTACAAGGAAAAGCAGATTCATACTGATTAAATACTACCCGCTTTGACCTTCATTTAGGAACATATTCCCTGGATGTATGGAAATATAAATTAACCATAATTCCATTTCTTGCAGCATGCCTATGTTTGACTCCTTTGACGAATACTTCTCACAAAAACAATATTTTTTAGTGGAGTTACCCACCCTGCATGACCTTGAAACTTGTGTTTTTATTGCATGCCTCCACGGTGACAAAAAAACCTCAATATCAAATACAAAACAGTCTCCGTTTAATTGTGTATTGCATTCTAAGGTATTTATTGCCAAGAAGAAAAAGGTGTTTTTGATTCAGCAGTTAGTCATCATGTCGATTCATTTCTAAATAATTCAAGTTGATTCCAGTAGGAATCTTAAAACAGAGAACACGTCTCAGCTGGTTCAACGTATTCAGGAACTGATTGTATCTACAGCGTTAGTTTCAACAACAGCTGCTTCTGCCAAAACTCTTTCACAACAAGAAATCAATACAGGAAATTAAATATATTCATACCTGCCACGCCGGCCCACTGACCGAACGCTACGATCCGGAAACCGTTAGCATCGACCATCTTCTCGTAGTCGATCAGACGAACCTCCTGAGAAGACAACGGTTTGAGTTTTTGTAGAAGGAGAGACAGAGAGGAACAACAATATCGGCATTTTCGGTTTCATTAAAAAAAGCTATAGCACATTATTGTAAGAGCCAGTATTTTTGTTTTATAAGAAAGGCCACCTAATTGTGACGTCCGTAGTCAACACACTATAAAAGACTACAATTCCCACGGCACCTCTACAGTGACAGTGATGGGCAACCTGTCAGAAAGACGCCGCCGAGGAACAGTTTTTAACCGTACAAACCCTTTAAAGTGGACCTATCATGCTATATTTGAATAATATAGTGTAGGACCATACCTATATAAGGCATATTTATACTTTTTTTTTTTCAAAATACCAAACAGATCATGCATTTTAGCCATGCCTCATTTTGCTCAATTTGACATTTTTTAGCTCTGTTTTAGCAAGGGCAGATTCTGTGAGAACAGCACCATCTACAGGCCTGGCATATGTACTACAGCGTCTCCAGCGCTTTCGAACGGCAATGGCCGTGGCTGTCTCCTCCTGATTGGTGGAGTTGGCCCAATAGCCGTAGCGCCACCGTCCTGACGTCAGGACAGTGTTCAAATCTGGATCAGTTTTTATCAGATCCGTTGTAGCCCCTTTTTTAGAGATTTGGGTATGGAGGAAAATAGAGAGGGTTGTGTTTTCTGACACTTGGTGAGTTCCCTGGAACACCGGGGACACATATTCATGTAGAAAAGACGTACAAAAGTGCATTTTGCATGATAGGTCCCCTTTAAGTTATTAAGTTATATAAGCATTATCAAGACAGAAATAACACCGAAGTTGTTTGTTATTTTATTTGACTTTTGCCTCTTTGTTTTGAATATTGTAAAGGCCTCTTTTCTTTGTTGCATGTGTAAAAAGTTTGTTATATTATTTTGAGCAAACACATTGCATAACATCATCCAAACCATCGGAGGCCAAGCAACTCTTCAACTGTACGTACTATAAAGGAAGAAAACGAGTTAAAAATGTCTGTTTAAAGCGTCTAGTGGCTTGATAGATAAAACAAGGAAGGAAGCCACGACAATTATTCTAAAGACCGAAGCAGATGCTTTTTTAAATCCCACATTCAAAGCTTTTATTGATATTTTCGAATAAAGCTTTGAATATCATCAGGGGTGTTTCTATAAAGCTATAGTATGAGTAGTGTGACCCTGATCTTGTTTATAAGATATGTAAATTATCTCGAGAACATGGCGTCCGTAAACAAGATGTCTCCACGGACGTAAACAACAACGTGACGTCGGAGCTCCGTAAAAACAAAGCTGTCTCTGCCGACGCTCTGTTTGATACTCAGATTATTTATACCGTTTTTGACGAACAGAAATATTGTTTTCTGGCATCACCTCTGCGTTTTGGTACGAGGGTGCAGCGCTCCTGTTACCCAGTTTAGACAAAACCCTGGTCATCGTCATATTTTCATCACGTTAAAAAAAAAAACTCAAACCAAATCCTCCGTTAAATTAAAATGAATGCCTCCAAACTGGCGGTTTCATTGACCTCTTGATGGAGGGCAAAGTGAGCGCAGAAACGTAATTAAGTTTATTTTAACTCGACTTTAGTTATGTATTAAAAAGGCTAAGCGCCAACATTGGATTAAAGCAAGGTCATTTCTTTAGATAAAAGCCTGTTTTGAATTTCAGAAATGAAGTATTTTTCAATAAATGTTGACTGTTGGACTGCACAACGCTCTGGAGTCATTACAGATATATGGATCACACAAGTTTAAAACAACGAAGGTGCCACCAGGATGTAATTCTAATAATAATAATAATAATAATAGAACACTTGTGTTTTTATGCAACTGTGCAGAAAAACAGATAAATTAATTCGTTGTGAATGCAGCTTCGAGCATTTTCCCCATTTGCCCTTATAAAGACTCAACATGTAATGAATGCATTAGTCTATTATTTGGCTCACATTACATCCATATCTATGGCTTTGCAGTGAGCACATTATCAACATACTCAGCTGTGATTGGTCCACTGCTGTGTATTTGTTTTCTGCACCTCAATAGGAAAGGGTCCATTGTGCAACACAACATTTTGATACCCTTAAAAACCCGTTAACAGTCTGCTTTCTACAGTATGCTAATTGTTTTGACATTTAAATGAGGAAACACAACACAGGTTTTCCGTAATAATGGTTAGGAGTTACGCAAAACGTGAATTTCCCCGACAAGATGTATTCTGCTGAGAGCATCAGGAACTGAATCTGGCAGAAACCGGCCGCTAAAGTGTCTGAATAAGTTTGTTTCGACCAGTAAACACTTCATTTAGTCACTTCTGTTCTGTGAGGAATCAGCTCAGATATAGATAAACACTCAAATACAAACAGTTCAGTACGTTTTATAACTAATGCAGGTAAAATAAGAAAGCTGTGCCATCATATAAGGTCGAGGAGGTCGGAGAAATGTTTCATTACAGACCTGCTAAACATGTATGCAGTGGCTAAAAGTACGTTTACTCAAGTAGCTTACTTAACCTGTTCAGCCCTGAGCCTGTTTTTCAGGTCTCAGGCTCGAAAAGGACATTCCCAGAACAAATGACTATAACTACACTTCTAAAAAGGGGTACATTAATAATCTTTTTTCTCAAAGCAATGATAAACCTGTGAGTTGGATGTAGAAAAGTCAGAATCAATATAGATGTTTTTATTTTAAAGTAAATTCAGATTGAACATACAGTAGGAAAAAACTGTAAATGATAGTGTCCGTCCAAAAAGAAAAACATTACTTATAGTGAAAACTACCCTTGAATGATAGGATAGTAGACTAAAAGCTTTAGGAATCCAAAGTATAACATATAATAAGTACCCTGTATCAAGATTGATGCAAAACAAGTGACATTTGACCTTTTTAGAGAGATTTAGAAAAGAAAAAACACTTCTGGGGTCATTTGGGTGGATTTTCCATATCTCTGGCCCCCCTTGGTTGATTTTGATGATTGACACCTCTTTTGAACCTTTAGAGCCAATAGAATCGAGGGGAAGTTCCTAAAAATCCATCTAAACTTTACCCATTGGTGAATGAGTGATGCGCAGCCAGAATGCCCAAAACCGGAAGCTGGGTTGTAGCTCTCGTAGCTCTCATCGCAGCTTGATATGAAAATTCTGTTATTGACAAAAATGGGATGATGGATTATCAGAAATCATTTCAAAGTGACAGACACATTGGATTAACCATTGGATTAACCTTCAGTGGCGTTTTTATCGTTGTAATGCCATTGAACACGACTTTTGATCAGAACAACAGCATAGGTAAGAATTTCTCCCGTTTTTCCTCCGTAATGCTACGTGTTGTGACGTCTGGTTTTGTTTCCCCTGTCGCAAGTTTTGATCGCTCAGTGATGGGTATGAAACATTAATAGGTTGTTAAAAGTTAAGAAGCCCTGAGACACAGTTTCGTGAAGAAAAAAAAACCGCAGCCCCCGCCGCCGGGGCATCTCGGACTCAACAGGTTAAAGAGGCCCTATTATGGATTGTTTGGTGTTTATGTAAATGGTCTGCAAAGGCTAACATCCCATTACATTCCCAAACATTGGGGCATCACTATGGAACAATTGCACTCCTATTGGCTAGAGCTCCAACACATTGTACGTGATAGGCTAAGCGGTTGATCAATCACAACAGAGCTAACCAATCAGAGCAGACTGGGCTCTGGTTTCAGACAGAGGGTGAAAAGAGGTGCTGCAGCACAGGCAGTATGAGAAAAATAAAGAGCTTTTTGAACATTAAAGCATGGAGACATGTAGAGACACTACATACTGATATACACCTGAACATCAGCAGGAGAGGACTCTTTAAAGTAGAGACACTACATACTGATATACACCTGAACATCAGCAGGAGAGGACTCTTTAAAGTAGAGACACTACATACTGATATACACCTGAACATCAGCAGGAGAGAACTCTTTAAAGTAGAGACACTACATACTGATATACACCTGAACATCAGCAGGAGAGGACTCTTTAAAGTAGAGACACTACATACTGATATACACCTGAACATCAGCAGGAGAGAACTCTTTAAAGTAGAGACACTACATACTGATATACACCTGAACATCAGCAGGAGAGGACTCTTTAAAGTAGAGACACTACATACTGATATACACCTGAACATCAGCAGGAGAGGACTCTTTAAAGTAGAGACACTACATACTGATATACACCTGAACATCAGCAGGAGAGGACTCTTTAAAGTAGAGACACTACATACTGATATACACCTGAACATCAGCAGGAGAGGACTCTTTAAAGTAGAGACACTACATACTGATATACACCTGAACATCAGCAGGAGAGGACTCTTTAAAGAAGAGACACTACATACTGATATACACCTGAACATCAGCAGGAGAGGACTCTTTAAAGTAGAGACACTACATACTGATATACACCTGCACATCAGCAGGAGAGGACTCTTTAAAGTAGAGACACTTCATACTGATATACACCTGAACATCAGCAGGAGAGGACTCTTTAAAGTAGAGACACTACATACTGATATACACCTGAACATCAGCAGGAGAGGACTCTTTAAAGTAGAGACACTACATACTGATATACACCTTGACATTTAGCTTAAATAAGGAGGAACCAGGGAATGGAGTTACGCAAATCATGATTTTCCCAGATGAGAGCTTCAGGAACTAAATCAAACAGAAACTAGCAGCTAAAAGTGAAAATAAAATTGTTTCAACCACTAACGGCTTAACTGGTTTTTATTTTTTATTTGAACACTTCTGTCTATGTTCTATCTTTTCTGATATAGATAATTAAGTATTTAACAAGGTGATTTATTGCAAAGCAGGTAACGTTGAGAAGTGTGTGTTTAGGGCTCAATAAATAACTTGACTTTAAATGTACAGCAATTAAACTTGAGTGCAGGAACGGATTTACCATATATTATGTCTGACAATAAGCACAATTCTCATCAATGTAGTGCCTCCAAACTGGAAGCATATTACAGTAAAAAACACTGTTTAAAAACTACATGTGCCACAATTTGACATAAAGCTGAAATGGGGCAGTATCCGTAGAGTATCTAGTATATAGAATATATAAAAGCAGTAATATAGGGCTAGAAAAAAGTGACAAAGTTTAGATAAGTAGTACAAAACCTCCCCAAAAGATAGACTGTAAAGTAAAAATTAACAAATAATCCCCCAAAAACTAATATTTACTTGTTTCTTCTACATTTTGTATTGACCATAGCCTTTCAAATGTGTCTTTAAAGGTCAGTTTATTTTATAATTACTGCAGTCATAGTTCACGACACACCTCTTTATATTAAGAGGTTGCTGTATATTGGTCGGGATGTTTGGAGGCCCTTTTCTGGATGTTTGGAGACCCTTTTCTGGATGTTTGGAGACCCTTTTCTGGATGTTTGGAGACCCTTTTCTGGATGTTTGGAGGCCCTTTTCTGGATGTTTGGAGGCCCTTTTCTGGATGTTTGGAGGCCCTTTTCTGGATGTTTGGAGGCCCTTTTCTAGATGTTTGGAGACCCTTTTCTAGATGTGGCCCTTTTCTGGATGTTTGGAGACCCTTTTCTAGATGTGGCCCTTTTCTGGATGTTTGGAGGCCCTTTTCTGGATGTTTGGAGGCCCTTTTCTGGATGTTTGGAGGCCCTTTTCTAGATGTTTGGAGACCCTTTTCTAGATGTGGCCCTTTTCTGGATGTTTGGAGACCCTTTTCTGGATGTTTGGAGACCCTTTTCTGGATGTTTGGAGACCCTTTTCTGGATGTTTGGAGGCCCTTTTCTAGATGTTTGGAGGCCCTTTTCTAGATGTTTGGAGACCCTTTTCTAGATGTGGCCCTTTTCTGGATGTTTGGAGGCCCTTTTCTAGATGTTTGGAGGCCCTTTTCTAGATGTTTGGAGACCCTTTTTTGAGGCCTTTTTCTAGATGTTTGGAGACCCTTGTTCTGTTTGGAGACCCTTTTTTCTAGATGTTTTGAGACCCTTTCCTAGGGTTTTGAGACCCTTTTCTAGATGTTTGGAGACCCTTTTCTAGATGTTTGGAGACCCTTTTCTAGATGTTTGGAGACCCTTTTCTAGATGTTTGGAGACCCTCACCTTGCTCAGCAGGTCCTCCAGCAGCCCCATGTTGGCCTCCTGAGCTTTGATGGTGTGGGAGAAGAAAGCGTACGTCTTCCTGGGGATAATTTTCTCCTCGGGGGGTCGTTTCACCCCGATGATCAGAGACGCCTCGGAAAGATCCTCCTGCACCACGGCCCCCGCCCTCATGTAGTACTGGAAACAAAGAAAGGGTCAAAAACAAGCTCCAAGAAGCACTCAAACGTATATACAGTTGTATTTAAGACAATTAAATAAACTAAAAGTGAGGTATTTTGATCCACAGGGGGAATTGTTAGAGCATAAATCAGTATTTAAATGAAATTAAAACAAATTCAATGATATATAAAAGGAGAATGGAGGCCGACAGATCACCTATTTTCTTAAAAGTAGACGAAAATGTATTTTATTTTTGTAAAGCACTTTGAATTGCCTTGAAGTGTTGAAAGGTGCTGTATAAATAAACCTGCCTTGCCTTCTAAATTTGTAATATATTAAAATAAATAATGGTAATAATATCGCAATGTTCTATAATGATTTAAGCATAATAAAGCGTATGTCAGATATGTTACTTATACTTATACTCCTACCTCCAGAGTAATATAGCAGACTGAACCAGGTGTAATTTTAAAGGGCGTTTCCTCCCCGTTTCTGCTCACCTTCTCGTGGATGTAGTATCATAATTCTCACCTTCTCGTGTATTGCTCTCCGATTGGACGGCTGCAGCAGCACTTTGACTCCGGCGTTGGTCAGCTCTTTGACGTGTTTCGGTGCGAGCGGCGCCCTCCTCTCCCAGGGGTTGATGTCCTCGCGGCGGATAGCCATGACGGCTCGATGGTGATCATATCTGCGCTGAACTGAGAGGCAGCGGCGCGACCTCTGACCTCCGTGACTGAGGAGTCTGAACATGGCTTCACAATTGGGGCGACAATTAGTAAACTTAAGGAAATGTGTGTTTGGAAGATTAATTCTTTGTTTCTAACAATGCTTCTTTCCAGACAGGGATTACTTAAATTGATTTTATTACATGGCTTAGTTGAATACTCGATTCTGATTGGTCAATTCAGAACACGTGACACGTTGTTAATCCAGTAGTACAGACCGCTGTCAAGGACTTATTGATCGTTGTTAAGGACGCTCACATCTGCAGAAAGAAGTTCGGTCGATTTAACTGTTTACAGTTTGGAACTGGGACAAGAAAACAGCGGAGAAGTAACGGGGCAGAAACCCTCCTTTTTACGCAACGGTCCAGACATAGACATCAAAACATATTCAGTTGCCAGTTACTTTGGCATTAGGGCAGGGATATCTAGATACTTTCCCAGGTCTGACATAATGAATTGTGCTACTTTTAAAGCAAGCAGCGATGTTTTCAAATCTGTAATCAAAAAGGTCAAAAAGACCATAATGACCGCCTCTCTGCACATTATCCCTTACTTATGTTTTCTAATCAAATGCATAGAAAAGCAGGACATCTCCATATTTGAGAGACATTTTTGGCTGATAATTATATATTTTTCTCACAAAAAAAGTAAGGAAATTTGTGTTCGCTAGATTATTTCGTTGTTGTAACAAACCATGTAACCATGAACAATTTCCCAAACTAAAGCAAACAGAGTCAGCAGCAATAAAAAGCTGTTTTTTGGCACTTTTTTCATGAGCGCATTTTCAGCTCTGCTGCTCATCCCACAAATGAATGTTCCTCATAAATGTGGCACCATTTGAAAGGTAAATAAACAGGCTTTCCAAGGGTAAAAGATGTATTGCCAAGAAGCATTGTTACAATAAAGAAATAATCTACCAAACACAAATGTCCTTGCTTTTTGTGTTAAGTTTAGATCAACAGAACAATGAGTCATTATAAGGCAAAGATGTGAGAAAATGCAGTTTTCAGCCAAAGATGGAGATTTTTCCTGCTTTTCTATGCATTTGATTAGATAACATAAGATCAAGTTAAAGGTAGGGTAGGTAAGTTTGAGAAACCGGCTCGAGATACACTTTTTGTTATATTCCATGGAATGCTCTTAACATCCCGATAGCAATGAATATCTGAAGTGCTTTGACAAAAAATCCATTAAAAACATGTCATCTGTGGAAGCCGTAATACTGTAAAAAGCACGACCAATCATTTTAGCCGGCCCGGCTAAAATAACTGGATGGCCTACCTGCCTGTCAGCCTTCCATCTGTGCTCAAACTTATCTCGTGCCCTCATTGGTCATGTGCGCGTTCGTGTCTGTTGGAGGAGGGGCTCTGTGAGGAAGTGGCAGATTTTCTCCGGTTGTGTATTTTCAAATTCTAGCGATCTCAAACCGGTTTCTCAAACTTACCCACTTTAAAGGTGGGGTATGTCATTTGGGAGAAACCAGCTCGAGTGCGCTAGAATTTGAAAGTACACAACCGGAAAAATTCTGCCCCTTCCTTCAGACTTCCTTACAGAGCCCCTCCTCCAACACACACGAACGCGCACATGACCAATGAGGGCACGAGATAAGTTTGTGCACAGATGGAAGGCTGACAGGCAGGTAGGCCATCCAGTTATTTTAGCCGGGCCGGCTCAGATGATTGGTCGTGCTTTTTACAGTACCACGGCTTCCACAGATGATATTTATTAATGTATTTATTGTCAAAGCATTTCATGTATTCATTGCTATCGGGATGTTAAGAGCATTCCATGGAATATAACAAAAAGTGTTTCTGAAGTGAATTACATACCCCACCTTTAAGTGATCCCAGTCTGGGAGATAATATTGTCAAAGCAGCATGTTAAAACAAGACATTTGACATGAATTCAAAGTAAAAAATGCTTTAAAAATAATTAAATATATTCATATCAAAAGTGAGGGATATATATCTATAGAGTATCCTTATCAAATAGACTCTATAAATACACAGAATAAGTTAGTATTCATAGTAACAGACCAACCTAAACTACTATGAAAATGTATTATAGGATAGTTTTTGAGTGGATATAAAGACACATTTTCATGGACCTTCAAAACTGAAACACAAACCATTCATTTTAAAACAGAAATCTGCAAATAAACAGGTTAAAAAAAGAGTGATTAGTCGCAGCCCTTCGACACACACTGACTTGCATAAACAATTACACAAAGCCAATAAAGATAATATCATAAAAACAACAGCTCGGAGAGGTTTCTTTGCACCGTGCATGACGTCTGACAAAACAGAGTGGGAATAAAACCTGACAGTCAGGATGAAATATGACTCAGAGGTCAGAGGTCGAGTAAAGTTTGCTGCTGAGAGAGAGCTGCTGCAGGACAGGTGGTGTTCAAGGACCAGATGAAACAATCAAACAGAAAAATACAACAGACTAGTTCAACTGCTGAGGACATAAAACACACCATGAAGGGTTTAAAGACATGAGCAGCACATGCACAACAATACATATCCAGGTGTTTAGAATAAAGCCAAAGAGAAACACTCCTCCTAATTTGCACATTTGCACATATTTCGGAATATATTTTCTGCACAGCCGTCAACTTTAAAATACAATACACTTCAGTTTGTCATATATTCATTGTACTGAGTGTTTTGGTATATTCTGTATATTTAAATTTGATATAAAAACGTATCTTTATGTCTTTTTAATGCTAAATGTTTGACCTTCTCTTACAACTTATATTCGTATGTTGATTATGTTAGCACCATCATAGCATCAAAGCTAATTCCTTGTAAACGTAGCTGTCAATAAACTTGATTCTGATTTATTCCAGTTAATTACATCTTATTGTGACTTTGAGTAAAAGGCGCTCAGTGTAATACAGAGTCCTATTTTTGATATTGATACCACTCTGATAACTGTATGTTAAATATAAGAGTTCAGTTAGCATTTGGTTAGCATAGCTTAGCTTAGCACATATAGCTTCCCTGTGTAAATGATTGTTTTAACACTGGTTTGGTTACAGATTAAACGGTTGAGCTTTACAGCAGTTCAGGGTTACAAAGAGTGGGAATGTTAGCGAAGTAGTTTACATCAATTTAAAAACAGTACACATTTCAACCTGAATGAATTTGGCTAATTATTGAATGTTGTCTGCTCTATTTTATTCCCATTTCCACCTCGATTAATCCCAGAATATTGAGGTACTTTCAATGTTTTACCTTTAGTAGTTTCTACTCCTCTACAGTTCAGAGGTAAATGGTGTACTTTTACTCCACTACATGTATTTAATACCTTTAGTTACTTTACAGATGTGGATGAATGATGTGAAATATAATCAAGTGTTAAATCAGACTTTAGTTCCACCTGGAGTGAATCCACAAGCTACCCTGCAGTATACAAAGTCATTCAAACTAGCTGCACCTTTACCAGCTTTGAGAACACTTTGATGATCAATCATTATAAAACATATCATATATATTATTCTGAAATGGACCAATCTGCACAATGACTACTTTTACTGTCGCTACTTTCACTATATTTTGAATGCAGTACTTTTACTGTACCAGAGTATTCCTACACTCTGGTACTTCTACTTTTACTCAAGTACATGATCTGAGTACTTCTACTTTTACTCAAGCACAAGACCTGAGTACTTCTACTTTTACTCAAGTACAAGATCTGAGTACTTCTACTTTTACTCAAGTACCAGATCTGAGTACTACTACTTTTACTCAAGTACAAGATCTGAGTACTTCTACTTTTACTCAAGTACAAGATCTGAGTACTTCTACTTTTACTCTAGTACAATATCTGAGTACTTCTACTTTTACTCAAGTACAAGATCTGAGTACTTCTACTTTTACTCTAGTACAATATCTGAGTACTTCTACTTTTACTCAAGTACAAGATCTGAGTACTTCTACTTTTACTCAAGCACAAGACCTGAGTACTTCTACTTTTACTCAAGTACAAGACCTGAGTACTTCTACTTTTACTAAAGTACAATATCTGAGTACTTCTACTTTTACTCAAGTACCAGATCTGAGTACTACTACTTTTACTCAAGTACAAGATCTGAGTACTTCTACTTTTACTCTAGTACAATATCTGAGTACTTCTACTTTTACTCAAGTACAAGATATGAGTACTTCTACTTTTACTCAAGAACAAGATCTGAGTACTTCTACTTTTACTCTAGTACAAGATCTGATTACTTCTACTTTTACTCAAGTACCAGATCTGAGTACTACTACTTTTACTCAAGTACAAGATCTGAGTACTTCTACTTTTACTCAAGTACAAGATCTGAGTACTTCTACTAAAGTTTAAGACCTGAGTACTTCTACTTTTACTTAAGTAACATATCTGAGTACTTCTACTTTTACTCAAGTACAAGATCTGAGTACTTCTACTTTTACTTAAGTAACAGATCGGAGTACTTTTACTTTTACTTAAGTAACACATCGGAGTACTTCTACTTGTACTTAAGTAACAGACCTGAGTACTTCTACTTTTACTCAAGTACAAGATCTGAGTACTTCTACTAAAGTTTAAGACCTGAGTACTTCTACTTTTACTCAAGTACAAGATCTGAGTACTTCTACTTTTACTCAAGTACAAGATCTGAGTACTTCTACTAAAGTTTAAGACCTGAGTACTTCTACTTTTACTCAAGTACAAGATCTGAGTACTTCTACTTTTACTCAAGTACAAGATCTGAGTACTTCTACTTTTACTTAAGTAACAGACCTGAGTACTTCTACTTTTACTTAAGTAACAGACCTGAGTACTTCTTCCCCCTCTGCACAGACCTCATGTTGGGAACCAGTGGAAACCCACTATGTTTGCCAAACACTTTAAAACAATAATATAATCACTACATCTGAGCCTTGTCTAGTATTGACAGCCACTGTGTTACTATCAGTGCTACAGCAGGGCGATATTGAAATGTTATATAAACAATGAACTCACAGTAAAGTAAAAGCCAGCATTGACTCCCTCAGAAAGGAGATTTAAATGGGTAACACAGTGAATGGAGTTTGGGGCAGCTTTAACCTCCAGCTGCAGACTCTTAGGTCAGATCCTGGATCAGATCCAACTTCAACACGCCCTCATGTTTACACAATAAATACAAGTACCGATACTTGGATCGATCAGCGGCTGCATGTGGAGAAGCGTCCGGGTCAAACTCACCTTTTGTGACCGGGCTTCAGTTCACCACGCCGGCTCCTGCAGAGGGAAAGTGAGGAAGGAGCTCCGGAGAGTCACGCAGAGGTGATCCTTCCGCACGGTAAACTAATCCGTTTCCGGGCAGACTTTCAAAATAAAACCAAACAGAAACGTTTATGTTTGGAAAGAGGGTATTTAAACAACGTTACATCTAATTAATTACAGATTATGATAAAACATTTTACGAGAATAAATACTTTCAGTAAGAAGTTTTAAAGGTGGCTGATTCAGGTTTAAATCAAAGCTTACTTATATTGCCCAATATCACAAAGTGGTTTGTCTCAATGGGCTTGACACATTAACAAACATGAGTCACGGTGCTAAAAGATACATGCAATTACAAGAACAATAGACAAAGCAGAATGTAAAATAAACATACAAAACATTAAATGAGATACAGTAAACACAAAAGACAATAACAACATTAAAACTGTAGGACTCAGGAGGATAACAGCAGGTTAAAACAACTTTAACTATATGCTGTGATTGAAAGGTAAGACTTCAGCACAAGTACTACCTCATACTTTAACATATTCATTTTTCATATTTTCTTTTACATTTCATACTATGTCTCTTGCCCGGAGGTGGAAGAACTTAAGAAGTACTCAGATGTTGTACTTGAGTAAAAGTAGAAGTACTCAGATGTTGTACTTGAGTAAAAGTAGAAGTACTCAGATCTTGTACTTGAGTAGAAGTAGAAGTACTCAGATGTTGTACTTGAGTAAAAGTAGAAGTACTCAGATCTTGTACTTGAGTAAAAGTAGAAGTACTCAGATCTTGTAGCTACTTGAGTAAAAGTAGAAGTACTCAGATATTGTACTTGAGTAGAAGTAGAAATACTCAGATCTTGTACTTGAGTAGAAGTAGAAGTACTCAGATATTGTACTGATTTAAGACTTGATTATATTTCACATCATTAATCCAGATCTGGAAAGTAACTAAAGGTATTAAATACATTTAGTGGAGTAAAAGTACACCATTTACCTCTGAACTGAAGTGGAGTAGAAGTACAAAGTAGCATAATATTAAAATACTCAAATAAAGTCAAAGTACCTCAAAATTGTACCTAAGTACAGCGCTTGAGTTGATGTACTTAGTTACTTTATACCCTCACTCTTGACTCTTTATGCACCAAAACAACAGGACAAACCTGCCTGTCGATAAAAAGTGTTTTTCTTTTTTATTACAGGTAAGCTTTTGTATTTTATTCTGAAAGTAACACCACCAGGTTCCGGTTTGCTCTGCTGAAGTGTGTAGTTTTCCGCTGTGGAAGTCGAAGCAGATCTTTACATCCATGGACGGAATGGATGGAATTTCTCTCTAGAGGGACGTTAGATAAATTAGCCTTGTTTTGATGTACTGTGCACCCCGTGTGGGCGGTGTCAGAGCTGTATCACCGTGTATGTGAGCATTTATTTTTTTAAACAAACGCACCTACGTTTATATCATGTTTTAACAAAGAGGGAGGAAGTGGGGTACATTTCCAAATGCTTGCAGATGGAGATAAGTTCATGTCACCGCCCGTAAAAGATGCGCATATTGAAAAACGAGCACATCTACAAGAAATCACGTGACGTCTTGGAGGTCGTTTCAGGCCGCGCGAAGCGTTTAAAGATCTGTACAGTAGCAACGTGTCTCAGCCAATCAGCATCCAGAGCTGAGGAACGGCCTCCCGCTCAGCCAATCACAGTGAAGATTCTTTTTCACTGACCTTATGTGACTGGAATTAATATAAACAGCGGAAAATAATCAGGATTGGAAAGTTACTTGGTACTTTTCCTCAAAAACTGTTATAGAATTAAGGTATTTGTACTTAATATAAGTATGTCTGTTTTATGCCACCTTTTACTTCTACTCCACGGCATTTTAAAGGCAGATATTTTACTTTCTACTTGTTCTTTTCAGTGACTTTTCAGATTTTAATTAATGATATAACATATAAATCAACCAACAAACTCTTATAGGCTCTATGATTTAAGAAGAAGTTACCTAGCAGTACATAAAGTAATTAAAATTATCTTTTAGTATGTCTGTGTTTATGAAATATCATTAAATGTATTCATGTGTTCGGCCAAAATGCATTTTACAGGCCTTGTTAAATATTTGTATTTATTTATGTTAAAGTAAAAATAATTAAACAAGTGATTACACACAGTTGATTTTATTTATTATTTGTTCCATGTTAAGCATCTGCAGCAGGAGGCCCCAAACCTTCACCGTGACATGATTCTTATTTTATAACAGTAGTACAATTTAAAATAAATATCATAAAACACCTTTTTTTTTTTACAATAATCCTGAGATTTAAATAAAAAATAACAACAGACGGACGGGACCAGAGATGTGGAGGTGAAGGGTTTGTACTGAAGTTAAATCCCACCAACAGTGTAGGAATTATAGTGGTACTTAAGGTCGAAGAATATTAAAGCTTGTATGCAATATTGTTGTTATTTCCACCGTCATTTTGTAATCTGAATACCATTGCAGGTCAATAAAAATGAGGATCATGAACCTTTGTATCCATCTTAACATCTTTTTATGATGTCAAATTGAAAGTGGGTGCAGCTAGAAAGTCTGTAATAACCCTAAAATACTTAAATAACACACTCCAGCAGGGGCGCACCTTGCGAACAGGCAAGGCAGGCAACTGCTTCGGGCCCCGGACCAGAAGGGGGCCCCCCAAAGAAGGTAGATTAAGAAGGTCCACAGCAACGACAACATGAAACACCCTTTAATTTACTGCAACGACATGTTGGGTAACCCCCTCAAGGCGGACCCCATGCATAGCGCGCCGTCAAAAGCTCATCATTTCAGTTGCGCTGCTCCGCTCCGGGGGGGGGATGTCGGCTGTGCATGGTGAGGAAAAGCTGGTTCGAGGGGCCCCCAGTGAATGTTTGCCTAGGGCCCCCACCGACTCTAGAATCACCACTGCACTCCAGTCATGGTAAAAAACCCAAAAAGCATAATATGGCCTCTTTAAACAAACAGGAGGCAATAGTGCATTTATTGGGGACTATTTTCAGCGGTGGATTAATCCACATTTGGTGCTCTGTGTGTGTTTTTGTGTCAACAGGACGGTGTGTTTTTGTGTCAATAGGACGGTGTGTGTTTGTGTCAACAGGACGGTGTGTTTTTGTGTCACCAGGACGGTGTGTGTTTGTGTCAACAGGACGGTGTGTGTTTGTGTCAACAGGACGGTGTGTGTTTGTGTCAACAGGACGGTGTGTGTGGGATTGAGTCAGAATAAAGTACAGTGTGTGTTCAAGGTAATAAAAGAACATGTATATAAATGCAAAATTATGACGACTTTTTTAATATTTTTGGACGACAACGGCGCACTATGGCACAGAGAAAGAAGATATATTAGACTTTGATACACACACAATACTTAGTTAGTTGCATAAAATCACCTGGTTTGGTCTGTTTATGGGATTTGTTGACAAAGACAGAATATATAACATTAGTTTCAAAGACTTCTGTGTTGAAACCTTGGTGTAAATCAGTTTTTTACTTGTGTCTTGTTTCACCTCCACTTCATCTCTGGTGTCATCAATCCCACATCCTGAGATGCAAAATAATTAAAACCAGTAATCACTGATGACTAAGGACATGATAATTAGCCACCATTATAATATCATTGACTAATAATCAGAGGAGTTTAAAGTTCAGTTTGTCCTCTGAAGTGTCCTCAGTCCAACGCGAGCAGAGAGTCCGACGTTTCCAGGCGTTTGGGGGTCAGAGAGGTCACGTTCAATTGAGTCTGAGGGGCCTCCAGGGGTCACGAAGGGTCAAGTTCAAGAGGAAAGGGTCAAGAGGCCTGAGAGGAGTCCTGTGTTTCTTCCAGGAAACTTATGCAGACTGTTGGTTTATTTGTAGGAGTTTATTGAATGTATTCCCTTGAGCTTAAAAGCACAATGAGTAGGATTTGTTGGCAACAGTTTGTGAACAACACAGGTTCACAGGTTCAACAAGAGGGTAATGTGCGTATCCGTGCAGCTTTTATTTAAAAAAGATCCTTGTCCGCTTGGTGTTTTGCGTTCCTATATTTGCAGTTTTTTCGATGGTGTGTTTTCGTCGCTTCTCCTTGATTGTGTGCTTACGTTATAGCACCTGATCGCTCCGTTTTTATTTGGGTTTGAGTCCATTATCGTCCCAAAAATAGCAAAATAAAAAACATCCACTCAGAGAGTTGTGCCGCCACCTGCTTCGAGATGTTCATATGGGATGTTTTCTGTTTTTTTTCCTACTCATTGTGCCTTTAATTGACCAAAAAGAAGCGTGAACTGTCACCTGTTTGTGAGCAAATACTGTTGGACTTCATAGGTTCAATGTGTGTCTCTTTTTTTAACAGGGACCAAAAAATACTGATTGTCGTTGGTCGTTTTGGATTTACAACCAAATGTTTTACAGCGATACTTCCATCACGATTGTCAACTTTTCATCTGGGATGCGACACGATCGGTTATCTTCTGTGTCAAACAATTTAAAGGGGAACTTCACTCGTTTTAAAATAAGAAATTAGGAGTGTTCGTTCCTTCTCGGATACTTACAACTACAAATTAATGACAGAAAAGCTGCGTTACAGACAGAGCATTTGGGGTTTTAAAGACATAGACACGCAGGAAGGGTCTATCTAGTCAATCCATCCAGGTGCATTGTGGGAAATGTAGGAGTCTTCGTTTTTGAAGCTTAATCAGGATGTCTTTGCTTTTGCTGCGTAGACTTTGAGGTTGTTAGGCCTCAAAAGTGTCAAAACAAAAATAAGTTTTAGAAAACTTCATAGCTGTTGAGGGTCTGATCAAAACACACAAACCAGGTGCATTGTGGGAAATGTAGGACGCTTAGTTTCATATACGTATCTCGATCTCTGCTGCTTTGTTTTTGACTGTTTTCCTGGCCTTAAAAGTGTCAAAATAAAAGACAATTTGTCTGAAAAAAATTCAGAAACAGTCTAAATACACCATCCAGGTGCATTGTGGGAAATGTAGGACAGTTTGTTCGGCCTCAATTGAGTTGTATTTAAGATATTCGTTTTTAACAAATTGTCAGAATTGTCCTTTAGTGTCAACATAAAGCAGGGAGGATCAAAACACACAACCCAGGTGCATTGTGGGAAATGTAGGACCCGTTTTGTCATGTATCATGTATCTATCTAAGCCTTGCTTTGATTTTGACATTTGATTTGGCCTTAAAATAGTCAAATATGAGATATTTTTCGATATATTCTTTGCATTTATAGTCAGAATCCTCCTTGAGGTTTTGGAGAACTTCATGGCTGCACAATACATAAGTCAGTGTCCAAATGAAGCCGTCTGAGAGCAGGATTTTGTGATTTTCGGCACCAAAAGACACATATTAGAGGATCCAAATGACTTGAACCAGGGTAACGAAGCACACTGATTGGTCACTTAGGGGCAAAAGTTCCTAATAAATTAAAATAGTCTTCTTCCTAACACCTTCAGGGCTCCATAGACCAGGACTTGAGTTCAGTTTCAGTGTTTGTAGTGCCTGGTTCAGGCCTGCGGGGGGGGCTGCGCGGTGTTGAGGTCGTGCAGCTTCCTCATGTGTTTCTTCAGGTCAAAGTTCCTGCAGAAGCCTTTTCCACAGGTGGGGCAGGTGAAGGGCTTCTTGTCGTTGTGCGTGTGCATGTGGAAGGTGAGGTTGTACACCTGGTGGAAGGCCTTGTTGCAGATCGCACACTTGAACTGCTTCTCGCCGCTGTGCGTCAGCTTGTGGTTCTTGTAGTTTCCTGCAGAGAGTCGAAGAACGGGAGTCAGAAAACACGAAATACTTTCACTAAAGAGCCCATTGTTTAATAAATATAATGATATCTCAGAAACTGCTTCGAAATCAGACAATATAAAGTATATTTTTGTCAAACTAATTATCATAAGCATCCGTTTTTGGCTGCACAAGAAATAAGTTAGAGTCTAAATGAAGCATTGTCTGATCAAAACACACAATCCAGGTGCATTATGGGAAATGTAGGACCGTTAGTTTCATATACATATCTCGATCTCTGCTGCTTTGTTTTTGACTGTTTTCCTGGCCTTAAAAGTGTCAAAATCAAAGATAATTTATCTGAAAGAAATCCAGAAACAGCCTGAAAACACCATCCAGGTGCATTGTGGGAAATGTAGGACACGGACATTTTGACAGCTGTTCGGCCTTAAAAATAATTGTATTTAAGATATTAATTTAAACAAATGATCAGAATCTTCCTCTAGTGTCTATGAAGCAGGGAGGTGTCTGATCAAAACACACAATCCAGGTGCATTATGGGAAATGTAGGACCCCTCGTTTCATATAGCATTAGTGAAGCATTAGTTCATATAACATTAATGAAGCATTAGCATATTAAATACGTGTTTTATCCCACAGACTATAAGGCTGGGAAGGGTCACCATTCACATATGTCCGTAATATTCTACCGTAGTATTTATAGTCCTTATTTTCAAATATTTATATATTAATAATATGAATACTTTTTTACTTTCACTTGAGTAACATTTTGAATGCAAGACTTTTACTGTAAAGAGTATTCCTACACTCTGGTACTTCTACTTTTACTGAAGTACAAGATCTGAGTACTTCTACTTTTACTCAAGTACAAGATCTGAGTACTTCTACTTTTACTCAAGTACAAGATCTGAGTACTTCTACTTTTACTCAAGTACAAGATCTGAGTACTTCTACTTTTACTGAAGTACAAGATCTGAGTACTTCTACGTTTACTCAAGTACAAGATCGGAGTACTTCTACTTTTACTCAAGTACAAGATCTGAGTACTTCTACTTTTACTCAAGTACAAGATCTGAGTACTTCTACTTTTACTCAAGTACAAGATCTGAATACTTCTACTTTTACTCAAGCACAAGATCTGAGTACTTCTACTTTTACTTGAGTACAAGATCTGAGTACTTCTACTTTTACTCAAGTACAAGATCTGAGTACTGTTTCTGTCAAAATGTCTGTGTCCTACATTTCCCATAATGCACCTGTGTTTTGATCAGACAATGCTTAATTTAGACTCTAACTTATTTCCTGTGTAAGATCTCAGTCCTTCTTCTTTTACTCAAGTACCAGATCTGAGTAGCCTACTTCTCTGAATATATAAAATCACTCTTTGTTTCCTCACCCTTCTGATGAAATCCCTTCCCGCAGAACTCACACACAAACGGCTTGTATCCCGCGTGTATGCGCGTGTGTGTGTTGAGCGTGGAGCTGCGGTTGAACGCCTTCCCGCACTGGTTACACTTGTGAGGCTTTTCCTGTACAAACACACGGGAGGAGATGTATTTAATATCACAGAAAATACATGGATTATATATTTATTTTTATTTAACATGATTTGACTTTATTTATATTTTGTATTTAGACTAGTTGCTGCAGGATTTAAAAACATGAGCTCATATATCTGAAATGATATCGATGTGTTGAGTGACCACAGGAGATGTATTAATTATCACAGAAAATCACACATCGATCAATATGTATTATATTTCATTTTGGCTGCACAAGAAAGAAGTTGGAGTCTAAATGAAGCGGGGATGATCAACACACTACACACAATCCAGGTGCATTATGGGAAATGTAGGCCCTTATTTCATATCGCATTAATGAAGCAGAAGCGGGGTGATTTAGCCTAATGTGGGACATTGGTTTGAAGGTTGCTCCTTCCTCATCTGTGATTGGACATTTGAGAAGTCATGTGATTTTGATCGCATGACATCACAACCTTTGTTAACCCATAGTTTCATTGACTCATTGGAGTTTAGGTGTCCCAGGGCAATTCACCCCATATTAAATACGTGTCAACTTTGTCTGATGTTTATTTGTTATTTATTTGCTGCAGGATTAAAAAACATGATCTAGTTTATCTGAAATGATATCGGTGTGTTGAGTGACCACAGGAGGAGCTCAAACACAACACTGAGGAAGACAGAAAAAGCTCAATCGTTATTTTAATGTATACTTTTTCCACTAAAACGTAGCATTTCAGTTCGACTTTAAGGTGTCTTGATACCATCACTGAGCAATATATATGATAAGGGGACGTTTTTATTAAGTGTTTAAGGGATTCAAACATGACCACAGTGTTTTTGTCTTAAAAAAACAAAGTGAATTATTTGTTTTCACTTATCAAAAAACCACCTTTAAATAAATGCCTCAGAGACTCACACCCTTAAACAAATATAATAATAGATTTAATGGATTAACTTCACTTTGAAATTGATTGTCAGGTCACACACACACACACACACACACACACACACACACACACACACACACACACACACACACACACACAAAAGTTACACAATATGCACATGTATTTGATGTGACTAAAAGTGTGTGTCCTACCTGAGTGTGTATGATTTTGTGTCTGCAGAGCGTGCTCGCCTGTCGGAAGCCTTTCCCGCACACTTTGCACACAAACGGCCGCGCGCCTGTGTGCACGGGCATGTGGCGCGTCAGGTTGTAGTGCGCGTTAAACACCTGCGAGAGAAAAATAAAATACGATGTAAAAAAAAAGAAAAACACACACATTGAAATAATAAAACACACATATTAAAATAATAAAACACACATATTAAAATAATAAAACACACCACAAACACTGCTTTGTATATTCCCCTTAAAATATCACATATTATATTTTAGTTTATTGTCGAAAATCCCATATATTTGAATGTGTTTTACATAAACTATGATGCTCTAGTGCGATGAGATGTGTTTAATTAAAATAAGAAAGTCCTCTGTCAGCCTCTTTACTCCAAAATAATGACATTTAAGGGACAATTAATGCCATTGAAACTACTTTACCCCCCCCCCCCCCCCCCCTTAATGTCCCAGTTTAAAGGCTCGCGATGTTTTCCAGAACGTTTTAATCTGGAGCTTTTTAATGATCAGCCTGAGTCTAATTAAAGCTGCCGGGGGTCTTCAATGGGCTCTGAGTGTAATGCTGTCCGAACAACACAATGAGCTCTTGTTATTGGATGCTGTTGTTTTGTAACTGTTTTTAATTTAATGGCAGAATTAACAACATTTAATTTAGTTCTGATTCTACTGGACTCTGTTTTCCGACCTTTACATTTCATCACGTAGCATGTTAGACACACTTAGTGGATTGTATTCTGCTTTGTCCAGTTCTTAGTTCAGTTAGTGAGGGTTTTGTTTGAGTTTTGGTTTCAGAGGATAGAGAGAGGCCTGGTTTTCTTATATTTATTTATTTAGTTTGGCACAGTCTCCATTGCCTCCTACTCCTCCTGACTCAAAGAGCATTTTGTCAGTTCTTTGTTGTACAAGGAATACACTTTTGTTAACGTTCACTCTGACTCCCTCGCGTATTGGTTGTGTTACTGTCTCGAGGTCACAGACACCTTAGTGGGGACGTGACAATATTTACACACCCTTAAAAACCTCTTATTTTGACAGATTTACTGGAAGCTATATCAAATGATCCTGAAAGAAAGTCTAAATGAATCCAATCTGTTCCCGTTTTAAATCATATTTATTTGTATAGTTGTTGTTTACTTAGGCTACTTAACTCAAACATCCCGTTCAAAATGTGCATGTTTTTAAATGACATTTGACCATTTTCTAATTAAGATGATTTCCTTATGAATGAAAGGGAATGCAGATCCTCTTATCATCTCATGATGAGGTGATATAACTCATAATTGGCCCAATTTCACTCTCTACATCAGGGGTGTCAAACTCAAGGCCCGGGGCCCAAATCCGGCCCGTGACTTCACTTCATGTGGAGCTTGCAAAGAATATAATATATACGGTTACATGCCGCTTTACAGAAGCACGTTGCCCATAAACTACATGTCCCACAATGCATCTCAAATATTCATTTTTTCTCAGAATTTGACTTTTTTTTCGACATGTCATTTTTTTGTTTTGATTTGAACTTTTTCCCCAAAATGTGGCTTTTCTTTTTAAACCATTTTGTGACGTGCGCACTGAAGAGACTTGCAATTATTTGCGCGAGACTTCTTCTTTCAGACGTAGTTAATTATGAAGTTATCAGATAATAATCCAATGCAGAGGCAATCATGTAAAATAATACATTATTTTATATATATTAAATATTTATATATGTATTTTTATATAGTCTTGAAGTTACAGCCGGCCCTTTGAGTGCAGCCATAACGCTGATGTGGCCCGCGATCAAATTGAGTTTGACCCCCCCGCTCTACATGATCAAAGGTTATACATGTTATCCCCAAAAAACACCTTGAATTAATCTGATTTTATGAACATCGTTAAAATTGACTTTTTAATGAAAACATGTTAAAAAAAAAGAATTTCTTAAACCAGTTTGAATAATCAACATTTTAGGTTTGCATCTGATTCAATAATACCCAAAATAACCCTTTAAATACAAAATCCCATTAAATAGTGTAACTTAAATCTGGATTCTTAAATCGATTAAAACGATGAACCTTTAATAAACACATCTTTGAAATGTATCCCATCAAATAGTGTAATCCAAAAGTCCATCCAGAATAAAAACAGAAATCCTAATAATAATAGTCAGATATAAAATCTTTCGGTTTGACTTTATTTATTGAACATTAACCAGCTGCATGTTTTTAAGTGATTTAGTTTCCTTTGAATAATAACAGCAAGACTCACCTTGAAACAAAGACTCCCTGGAATGGTTTCTTTTAAATCTGGATTTTTCCAAAAGGCCATTCTTATAATAATCAGAAATAAAAACCTCTGAATTAACTCTCTATTTAACACATAAATCATTTCGTCTCGAGGTCATTTAGTTTATATTATATCTTGTATCTTATTTTATTTAGTTTTATTTATATTTGTATTCCACACACTATCTTGTCTTCTCAGTTTGCTGTCATATACCATGTTGTTGTTTGTTTTTAATCTGTAAAGCAACTGAGACAAACGTGATATTGGGCTATACGAATAAAGCTTGGTTTCATTTGATTTAGTTTCCCGGTCAGTAATAATAATAATACCGGACTCAGGACTCACCTTCCCTGAAATGCTTTAGTTTAAATCTGGTCCAAAAACCCTCTGAATGAACTCTCTATTTAACACATGAATCATTACGTCTCGAGGTCATTTCGTTTATTTCCCTGGTTAATAATACAGGAGCACTCACCTTCCCGCAGACCTCGCAGGTGAACACTTTGGGTTTGTTCCCGGGACACGAGCCTTGGATCCGGGCCGCCGCGGAGCCTTTGAAGATCTTCTCGGTGAGGATGTGGTCCTTCATGTAGTTCTGGATCTGACTCTGACTCACCGGGTACCGATCGGTCTGCTGCTGTAACCCCGGCTTCACGCTCTTCTCCGCCATGAGGGCTTTGTGGCGCGCGCTGAGCAGGTAGGAGGCCATGGGGTGCAGGTTCACGAGCCCGGGGGGCGCGCACCCTCCTCCTCCGGTGTCCCCGGTGCAGTTCAGGTAGCACACGGTGCCCATGGCGGGGAAATGGGACTGGTTCACGACGCGCGGCCGGAACAGCTTGTACTGCCCCGGAGAGGACTCATCCTGCGGGGGACCGTGCTTGTAGTTCAGCCCAAAACCCAGAAAGTCTGCCGGAGCCGCGAGAGAAGACGCGTCAAAGTGTCCCGGTTCCAGCCCGGTGATGCTGATCCGGTGTCCGGTCTCATACCCGAGCGGCAGCAGCGGGATCATGCAGTGCAGCGGGGCCGGGTCGAGTTTCCCCGCGGGAGGAGCGGGCTGGAACCAGCTGGGGAGCGGGATTATCGACTTGGGCTCCGGCGTCCGGGCCATAATCCGGTCGATGGAGAAAGCGAGAGGTTTGCTGCCGGAGATGAGCGAGTCTGAGCCCGCAGGCTGGCTCCCAGAAGCCGGGGGGGAGCCGAGGATCCCCGCTGGGCGGCGGAGAGGACCGTCCATCACCGCCGCGACGAGAAGCTGCTGGAGGGGAAGGTCGCTCCTCACCGGCCCATCATCTGCTGGGGAACCCCCCCTCCAAAAAATAAAATCACCTTATCGTCCTTATCGACGGCAATCAGCGCGTGCGGAGAGCCGAGACCTCGCGGATCGTTAACCGTCCAGGAAGAGAGAGCAGGGAAAGTAGATAATTTGCTCAATACTCCGCTGTCGATTCTCTGCACTTGTCACCGCTGGATAAGAGGAGGAAGAGGAGGAGGAGGAAGGTCGTCCCTCACTTGGCAGGACTCCTGCTCAACTGGAAGGTATTTGGTAAATCCCAGGTCCCCTTGTGGCTTTGCGTGACATCATTTCTTTTTTCTTGAATCACGTAACGCGGGGGTCAGGAGCTGTGGAGGAGATTTGGACGCGTCTTTGGCTCCTCTAACGCCAGCCCCTCTTTACGCACGGAGACACACGGAGCTGTCATGTGGCTGAACTTGAGACAGAACACGGATCGAGATGTTGAACAGGAAATGGATTTAAAGACATCGATCTCAGCCTGGGTGGGCTTTGAATATCACACTTTGACTCAGAGCGTTTTTTGTCTTCATCCTTTTCTTTTTACGCTCACGATTTTTGGATGCACAAAAAAACACATCCACGAAAGAAAAGGCTCTCTATAGACTTGTGTATATATTCTGAAGAAGCAACATGAGAAATAACAGTTAACTGCGCTTTCTAATCTCATCTCCTGCATGCTGTCTTTTTTTTGTTTTGGATGCATTTGGTTCTTGTACGCACATTTACGCAAATGGATGAATAAATAACACGATGTGCGTAAACCTCCATCCTTCCAGTGATGATGAGTGAGCTGAAGCTATAAGGAGGATTTATTTGTTACATTTTGAACATTAGATGGACAGAAAGGGCCAGACAAGCGAAGCAGGAGATACACATAATAAAGAATACATATTTATACGGTATTTGTTTTGTGTTTCTGGACTGAAACTGGTGTGGGTTTCATTATTGGAAAAAACACAAACACCAGATTTTAAAATGTCGTTTTTCACTTTTCACTTTATCTGATAAAGCCCTGAGATTATTATTATTATTATTACTCATTTATATTATTCGGATTTGTACATTTTTGACGGTTAGACAATGATCGGAATGATTTGTTAAAATATCAGAAGCGCTTTGGGAATAGAGACCAAAGAAAGTCGTAGAGATTTTTAATATAAAAAACGAACATTTGAACCTTAACATCCTGAATAAAAACACCATTTATGAAAATGTATAACCCTTCAATAGCAATATAGCAAAACAGATAAAACGATGTCTTAAAAAGGCAGTATTTAAAACAGTAATATTAAGGATATATATTTTTGGCTTATCAATCTTAAACGAATGCAGTTTGTAAAAAACATTAAGGAGGTATTTTTTAAGAAGGAATGTGAGATTTAAGACTTTTGTATTTCTATGGGATGCTTGAGGTTTCAGAGGTCACAGAAAACATTTAAACACATTTCTATAAAATACTCGTTTTGACAAAAATACAATCATTATTTTGTCATCCAGCAAATTATTGATAATCCTTAGGAAAACAAAAAAGCTCTTTATTACAAAAGGCCTTCATTGTTGCAGGCCTATTGTGTTTCATTCTGTCCTCCTAATGTTCTATACATAATAATATAACATGTTTTATAACCATACTAATATTAATGCATCACTGAAATGTAGATTTGAGCTCATTTAAGGGTTAATTTTTAACAACTAAACCCCGTGTTGACATCCATTAATGGAGGCTGCAGGTGATGGATAACAACTTGATAAAATACAGCTAAAATAATGCAGAATTCATATTATATGACAGGTTATAACTGTTGACAAATACCTACAAATATTAACTTAAAATGTCCTTAAACCTGCCTATAGCTTATAAAGACCTTATCAACTACGCAAAGGGAAATTAAAGTGTTGCCATTATTGCACACTTTAAAAGATAAGTAGGATAACGTTTTGTTTGGCAGTAACAAAAGGCATTCAAAGACACAAATACATCTTATTGTATGAAGATATGTGTCATCAGAAACAGCAGTTAATAATGAGGAAGTGGAATAAAGGTAATTAAATGTGTAATGTGAAGTATAATTAAGACATGAGTTATAAATGTAAATCCCTATGGAAATAAGAGTTATATGCAAATAGTACAAAAAAGTGCATATTTTCATTATTATGAAATTATTATTGACAGTGATGTGTCTTTTTTCTGCAGAGTAATTAATTATATAACCTTATCATTTACTTCTTATCTCCTGCTGAATTAATTTATATATTAATATGAGCTTTAATGTGTTTTATTGTTTTTATGAATCTTTCAGTTTCATGTTTTTTAATAATCATGAACAAAACGTTCCTCTTTTTAAAATCTGGATGAAAAATGTGATGTTCATTAGATTTTAATTTGTTTTCCTCTTTACTGGAATCTAAGTTGAAACATATTACAGCCTTTCTATTGACATTATTATTTTAATTATTAATAATGTGTCCTTGCTCTGTTTGTGACAGCGGCGGCAGGAACATGTTTGATGCTCATTTTAATGAGGAGAGAAAAGGAAGCTGATGGACGGCAGCCAGCGACAGTTTCCAAAGGAACAGAAGCCCTTAAAAGAAAACCCTTAAACCTGCAAGATTAAAGGGGAATGGAGAATAAGACCTTCTTTAAGAGGAAAACAACAGAAAACAAAGTCTCAAAGAGGACACATCCTGCTGATGTTCAGGTGTATATCAGTATGTAGTGTCTCTACTTTAAAGAGTCCTCTCCTGCTGATGTTCAGGTGTATATCAGTTTGTAGTGTCTCTACTTTAAAGAGTCCTCTCCTGCTGATGTTCAGGTGTATATCAGTATGTAGTGTCTCTACTTTAAAGAGTCCTCTCCTGCTGATGTTCAGGTGTATATCAGTATGTAGTGTCTCTACTTTAAAGAGTCCTCTCCTACTGATGTTCAGGTGTATATCAGTATTTAGTGTCTCTACTTTAAAGAGTCCTCTCCTGCTGATGTTCAGGTGTATATCAGTTTGTAGTGTCTCTACTTTAAAGAGTCCTCTCCTGCTGATGTTCAGGTGTATATCAGTATGTAGTGTCTCTACTTTAAAGAGTCCTCTCCTGCTGATGTTCAGGTGTATATCAGTATGTAGTGTCTCTACTTTAAAGAGTCCTCTCCTGCTGATGTTCAGGTGTATATCAGTATGTAGTGTCTCTACTTTAAAGAGTCCTCTCCTACTGATGTTCAGGTGTATATCAGTATTTAGTGTCTCTACTTTAAAGAGTCCTCTCCTGCTGATGTTCAGGTGTATATCAGTATGTAGTGTCTTTACTTTAAAGAGTCCTCTCCTGCTGATGTTCAGGTGTATATCAGTTTGTAGTGTCTCTACTTTAAAGAGTCCTCTCCTGCTGATGTTCAGGTGTATATCAGTTTGTAGTGTCTCTACTTTAAAGAGTCCTCTCCTGCTGATGTTCAGGTGTATATCAGTATGTAGTGTCTCTACTTTAAAGAGTCCTCTCCTGCTGATGTTCAGGTGTATATCAGTATGTAGTGTATCTACTTTAAAGAGTCCTCTCCTGCTGATGTTCAGGTGTATATCAGTATGTAGTGTCTCTACTTTAAAGAGTCCTCTCCTGCTGATGTTCAGGTGTATATCAGTATGTAGTGTCTCTACTTTAAAGAGTCCTCTCCTGCTGATGTTCAGGTGTATATCAGTATGTAGTGTCTCTACTTTAAAGAGTCCTCTCCTGCTGATGTTCAGGTGTATATCAGTATGTAGTGTCTCTACTTTAAAGAGTCCTCTCCTACTGATGTTCAGGGTGTATATCAGTTTGTAGTGTCTCTACTTTAAAGAGTCCTCTCCTGCTGATGTTCAGGTGTATATCAGTATGTAGTGTCTCTACTTTAAAGAGTCCTCTCCTGCTGATGTTCAGGTGTATATCAGTATGTAGTGTATCTACTTTAAAGAGTCCTCTCCTGCTGATGTTCAGGTGTATATCAGTATGTTGTGTCTCTACTTTAAAGAGTCCTCTCCTGCTGATGTTCAGGTGTATATCAGTATGTAGTGTCTCTACTTTAAAGAGTCCTCTCCTGCTGATGTTCAGGTGTATATCAGTATGTAGTGTCTCTACTTTAAAGAGTCCTCTCCTGCTGATGTTCAGGTGTATATCAGTATGTAGTGTCTCTACTTTAAAGAGTCCTCTCCTGCTGATGTTCAGGTGTATATCAGTATGTAGTGTCTCTACTTTAAAGAGTCCTCTCCTGCTGATGTTCAGGTGTATATCAGTATGTAGTGTCTCTACTTTAAAGAGTCCTCTCCTTCTGATGTTCAGGTGTATATCAGTATGTAGTGTCTCTACTTTAAAGAGTCCTCTCCTGCTGATGTTCAGGTATATCAGTATGTAGTGTCTCTACTTTAAAGAGTCCTCTCCTGCTGATGTTCAGGTGTATATCAGTATGTAGCGTCTCTACTTTAAAGAGTCCTCTCCTGCTGATGTGCAGGTGTATATATGAAGGGATTATTGTTTGAATCCATTAACGAGTGAAAAGGCTTTTTAAGTTCCCCTAAACCTTTTATAATTAGATCTGAGTGAAAATAACATGAAGGCATATTAAAAGCAGCTTGATCCAAATTCATAAAATATAAAGGGAGGTTTGATTTAATTAATTAACGACTGAAAACTGCTTTTAAATTCCCTTCAGAGCAGGGGTGTCCAAACGTGGACCAAATCCGGCCCGTGACTTCACTTCATGTGGCCCCACAAGAATTGCAAAGAATATAATATGTTTATTATACGGTTACTTGCCGATTTACAGCAGCACGTTGCCCATAAACTACATGTCCCACAATGCATCTCAAATGTGACTTTTTTGTTTTGATTTTGACTGTTTTTCCAGAATTTGGCTTTTCTTTTTAAATCATTTTGTGACATGCGCACTGAAGAGACTTGCAATTATTTGCGCTAGACTTCTGCTT